ACACTACGTAAAATACCTTCTGGGCCGTGACAGACAGACAGAAATTGAGATAAAACACTAAAAGCTTTTTAATGTATAAACGCAAAAATAACCGAAAATAAATAATTCTGAACAGTGTACAGACAAAACTCTAATTTTATTTGTGATCAACTACCGTACATTAAAGTAAACAAAAATCAGCTGTGTGTGGTTTCTAATGCTATTCTTATGGAGACAATGTTACGTTATATATAATTTTGTGTTGAAATTTGGGGAAATTAACTATTTTTCCCGCCATCACGGGATCGAGTCCTTTAATTTGAGCCCTCTCCCGTCCTTCTACGACTTCCCAGTCACCCACAATTTTGAGGTAAAGACCGCGGCTTACGTAATAACGTAATTAATATATAGATATGAGGAGTTTACTTGTATGGTATAATGTACCAATCGTAATAGATGAAATGATTGAATCCATTGCTAAACAGCTGCTTATTTGCTATAGCAGAATTGAAAACAAGCTCATTTTGATAGGTTATCTATACACAAAACCTTATTCGTTTTCTAGTTTAGTTTGTTAATTAATGATGCATATGACGAAAAATATAGTTCACCACACGGGCAATTTTCAACTCTCGCTCATTTACCGACCTCGGCTTTGCCTAGGTCGTAAAACTTGACCTCGGGTCAAAAAGAGTCACTTGAGGTCCTAGTGATTAAATATTCTAATAAGATAATTGTTTTGACGCTAATATGCAGTTTGTAACAACTGTAAAAAATAAAGATGTTTGAGTAGCCGACCCTGTAAGTCAACATAAAGTTTAAATGAGTGTTTTAAAGTTTGTTTGATATTTATGCCAATGTTAGTAATTAACAATGTTTAATATTTAGAAAATCATAAAAAAATCTTACTTTAATAAAAACAATTGTTATTGTAGGCGTACCACTATCACACACTGTACACTACTGCAATGTCTTGTTTGTGTTTTTATGCCATATATTAGGGTCTTTTGTCTTATATATCCTTTTGTGTTCCTTGTTCACTTATAATAAATCAACATTAACAATTCATTATAATTAACAAGGGAAATCTAATTTTTTAACACCTTTTACAACTAAAATTAAGTCTATTTGAATGATTAGCCAGCTGTACACTTTAATAACCCCAGTATTATGTATTCGATATTGTTACTTATGCATTGTAATTACATTTTAACGTTGGTCAATTTTAGGAAAGGGTTTGTCAATCATTAAATTTTAAGTTGTTATTTCATGACAACGTAATACGAAGTTGACGTACCACTTTAGCATTGCTCTGCATTTTACCCAGAACTGAAAGAGTAATAGTTTTTTAATTACAATTAAATAATATCTCATGAACTGCCATGCTGTAATAGCTAGTTTCCGGCGTAGGGCTATGGGAGTAATAACACCCTGGATGCCCCAAACTCGTGCCGATTATTAAGTATTGTGTGAACCCAAATCAGCTATTATTATTTCTTTTTCTTCGCCTCCATACTAGGTACATGGCTAAAACCTTCTTTTGCCATGGTGTTAGCATCGCAACTACTGAGCCACAACTGAACAGAAAATAATAAATATTCAGGCGTGAATAATATTCTAATTAATAACTATAAACTTTTTAAAACCTCATACCATCAAAAGAGTACTAGTTGGAGCAAGGTAATAAGAAAAAAAAACCTATAGTTTACCCAAGAATTGAGAGTTTTAAAGCAGGAAAGAGCTAAAGACCACCTACAGTGACAGTTCCATGTGACGTCAGGCCTCTGCCAGACCATAGGACACTATACATACAACATACAACCATGATATGAGTCATGATGACATACTGTTTTTTTTGGTCAGATATTGTAGAGATTTAAATCATATACATTGTATACTTATTCCCATACTGATGGGTTGAGGCGTTCGAAAGTTATGGGACTTTGAAATCTCAAATTTAGACAACTTTCTTCACCCAGAAAATCATATTTTCAGTCTTACAGTATTTTCAATTAAATTCTCAACAGTTGATACAATTTGTCCTCTTGATTTAATGTTTAAAGGTATTTCAAACCTACATCCTTATTCCTTATAAAGTAAAATTCAGAGACATGCCGGGAGACAGCTATAGTGTAAGAGTTCCTTATCTATTATCAGGCTCATGTAACCTATATCCTTGTCCTTCTACTGTCTGTGCTGTAGTTTGACCAAGTTCATACAGCACAGGTCAGTTTCATACAGCACGGACAGGATATAGGAATATTCTCAAGTCATTAAACAAGCCAAGTACAGTTTAAAAAAAAAAATAAAATCGAAGATGCAGACGGAGACTCCAGAAAATTGCGGCACATCGTAAATAAGGTTGCAGGACGTCCAAGTAGGAAGGAAAAATTCCCAATAGAAGCATTCTGCGCGCACGATGGCACTGCCACCTCTGTCCAGATAATAATTGTATGCAATAATTTAGATTCAATTTAATTATTAATTAAATTAATTTAATTATTAATCATTCCCTAAGACTTTTGAAGCATGGCTTTGCATAATTCCATATTCACTTGACATTTCCCACCCTCCAACTTGCCTCCACTTCCTCTACGTCGTGGACCTGTTTCCATCATTCCCTAAGACTTTTTAAGCATGGCTTTGTATTATTCTATAGTTACTTGACATTTCCCACACTCCAGACCTTTTGCCCTTGCAACTTGCCTCCATTTCCTCTACGTCGCGGACCTGTTTCCATCATTCCCTAAGCCTTTTTAAGCATGGCCTTGTATAATTCCATCGTCACTTGACATGTCCCACACTCCAGACCTTTTGTCCTTGCAACTTCCCTCCACTTCCTCTACGTCGTGGACCTGTTTCCATCATTCCTCAAGCCTTTTTAAGCATGGTGTTGTATATTTCCATAGTCACTTGATATTTCCCACACTCCAGACCTTTTGCCCTTGCAACTTGCCTCCACTTCCTCTACGTCGTGGACCTGTTTCCATCATTCCTCAAGCCTTTTTAAGCATGGTGTTGTATATTTTTATAGTCACTTTATATTCCCCACACTCCAGACCTTTTGCCCTTGCAACTTCCCTCCACTTCCTCTACGTCGTGGGCCTGTTTCCATCACTCCCTAAGCCTTTTTAAGCATGGTTTTGTATTATTCCATTGTCACTTGATATTTCCCACACTCCAGACCTTTTGCCCTTGCAACTTGCCTCCATTTCCTCTACGTCGCAGACCTGTTTCCATCATTCCCTAAGCCTTTTTAAGCATGGCGTTGTATAATTCCATCGTCACTTGACATGTCCCACACTCCAGACCTTTTGTCCTTGCAACTTACCTTCACTTCCTCTACGTCGTGAACCTGTTTCCATCATTCCTCAAGCCTTTTTAAGCATGGTGTTGTATATTTCCATAGTCACTTTATATTTCCCACACTCCAGACCTTTTGTCCTTGCAACTTCCCTCCACTTCCTCTACGTCGTGGGCCTGTTTCCATCACTCCCTAAGCATTTTTAAGCATGGTTTTGTATTATTCTATAGTCGCTTGGCATTTCCCACACTCCAGACCTTTTGCCTTTGCAACTTCCCTCCACTTCCTCTACGTCGTGGACCAGTTTCCACCACTCTGATACGTCTCAGGAAGCAAGTGATACAAAATATGCCACAGAACATGAACAAGACGCAAGTGATACAACTTACTACGAGAGAGCTCAATGACGAAACTGACGAAAAATCCAACGCAAAACCTGGTACATATATATATATGTATATATATGTATATACTAGCTGTTGTACCCGTGCTTTGCAACGGGAAGAAGACACAAAATACAAACATTTTGATCTTTACATTTGTTGTATAAAATATTTACACATATAGGCTACCACTTTTAGAAACAAAATTTGGCTGCACTTTAGTATCTGTCCTACACTCATAACAATGAAAAATATCGATATAGGCTATGGATTATTCTATATATTCATTTAAATTAATAGTACTGTACCCTGTCAGTAAACTTTATAACTTGTTAATGCGAATTTAATATCACAGAACCAACTTGTATATTTGAAACAGCTGACGAAATTCTTTTATTCGTTTTAAATATTACTCATAAGGTTAACATGGGAAATTCCAGAGCCACTGGGGCGGAGCCCGAACGGACTTTTGAGATAAGAATGCGTCTATATGTTAATCGGGAATGTGAGCTATCATCACACCAAATTTCAGCCCAATCCGGCCAGTATTTTCTGCGTTTACTTGTCACAAACATACATCCATACATCCAAACTTTCTCATTTATAATATTAGTAGGATTAGTAGGATATATATATATATATACCATAATACCATATAACCACACTACAAATTTAATTCTACAATATACGGTACGTAGTTTTATCCAAACAAACGATCAAAAACCCCGAATGAAATTTTTAATTGACTTAATAGTCAATGCATATAAGCGAGTCTTATCTTTCGATGCAGATTAAATAATACAAAGGCAGAGGAATGCGCGAGACCAAGGACAATGTAACGGCACGGTTGCTATAGAAACGACGCAACGAGAATTGCGCGCCAACGTCAACTTAACGCCAGACTGTGTAAACACGCCGCGTGTGTAGTGTTCGACGGAGCTATAGTACTTTCAGTTGGCAATACTGGCTTCTAGCCTCGAGTGAGGTGGTTCAACCATGAGAAGCGCCTCAAACTCCTGGGTAATCCCCGATTAGCTCCTCCCACTCTGCCCCCTATCCCCACCTAAAAGACGAGCAAGTGGTAAGTCGGTCGGGAGGATTGACGACAAGTTGGTTTCTCGAATATAATAATTTAGTTTTACAGGCCGGTCAACTGGACTGACGATGAAATAACTTGTCGACGTACTGGTTTTCAGCATTTATCTATTTAATTAAAAAAGACGGTCTAGTGGCCAGACGACAAAGTATCTTGTCGGTCTACTGGTAGGCTCCCGCCTGCAGGCCTGTTTTTCTCTATCTGGCCCTGAGTAACAAACTATGATTGTTCTTTGCAGACACATTGGGTACCTTGGCCAGATCTATTGGGTCAGAGAACTTCTTACCCATGGCCAAAGAGAGTATGGAGCTGGGGATACAGCTGATTAGCAAGACAGACGATCCTGATTTGCGTAAGTCTGTGTACGGACTGTTCGCCTCTGTAGCCTGCGTGCTGAGACAGGACATGAACGTGTACCTGCCTACTGTCATGGACGCTATCGTGAAGTCGGTCAAGAGTGACAGCGGCATGGTCGTAAGTAGCGAGTATATCTGACGGACCTTTTTGGTGAATTCACTACCACTATACTTTTTTTCATTTTAGAATGTTTTGATTATCTAGAAATCATCAGGGTTAGGTTATTTAAAGTTTTGGGTTTTTTAAAGTTGTGTATTGAACACTGTATAGGCTAACTTATATAGTATAGAACATCTCATTTTTGGCCAAAATGTATATTACCAATATCAATTTAAAGCGAGATAATACCTATGAAGGGGAAGATAAGCCTATTAAGATATACCTGTGCTCCTGTGGATATGGTTACTGAAAGTTCCCTGAGTGTACACTTGATACTTTTCATATCAAGTAGGCATCCGGTAATGATCACTGCAGTATCTGCTACATCTTAACTGTGGAAAATCACCTAGGTGTTTGGATGAAGGCTCTACCTTTATGTTGGTGGTATTTACAAGTCTATGTTTGCAGAGTTTGCGGAGAGATGAGAACAACCCGAACGTGGGACTGTTTGAGACCATCAGTGACGGGGAGGAGTCCGAGGAAGACCTTGGCAACACTTCAGACGTCAGTACTGATAAGGACGAAGATGATAATGGTCAGTGCTACTTACCTTAGTGATAAAAACTAATACAAATCTGTTGAGAACCACTTCACATCTCAAAGTGTTGAAATATCGAATAGTTCTAGTACGGTAATTGGGGTATAAAAACCCCCACTTTGCATTGTGTCTTTATTTCACAAGAGGATACTGAATTTATTGAAAAATATAATTATACACTGTTCAAAAAATTTAGGTGGTTATAGGGAAATAAATTTATCCCCTCCACTTGATCCTACCTTTAAAATATTAGCTGAGCAGCTGAGGTTTGCCAAAACGTCAATCAGATACACAAAATACATTACATACATACATCAGACCATACATTACGCAAAAAAGTAGTAGCGGGAACTTGCCCTCAAACCGCCTATATTTTGTGAACGGACTATAGTCAGCTGATTTGTTCCAGATGAATGGTGTACTCTAGGTGAAACCTTCCACTGTGTTGTCAAAAACATAATAATATTCACAAAAACTAGATTTCTAGGTGAATCTGATTTAAGTGAATAATGCAAAACACTCAAACTTGTAAATATTTCTTACAGCTTTCACAGTAGAAAACTCGTACCTTGAAGAGAAGGAAGAGGCTATTGTTGCAATAAAGGATCTAGCTCAAAATTGCATGTAAGTTTTCCAAATCTGTTCTGATGGATAGTTATAGTTTAGGCTATTTAGCACAGACATTTCTCAGTCTGATAAAAGGAACAGAAAGTCTAATGGAAAGTGTATTGAAACCATGATCAATTTTTAAACTAGTGTCCATCCTCTCGTGTTATTATCAAAGAGTAAATTTCACATTGTAAAATCCACTAAACTAAGAGAAAAACTTTGAGTCTTTTTCAGTGCACTTAAATCTAAATCGTCGTGATATACACATGAAAACATACTTCAGAATTTACAAAAGGGTGAGAAATGTTCAGTATCCAAGTTTAAGACAACAGTTTATCTAATACACCCACAAATTTACTTAAGTTGCTTTTGTCGTTGATGCCAATTGTAGTGTTTGATTACAGGGAATCTTTTCTGCCGTACGTGGACACTTGCTTCCAGGAGATATTCACGTTGATCAACTTCCCTCACGATGATGTACGAAGTGCAGCCCTCACCACCCTGGCTCAGCTGTGCATCAACATTCACAAGATTGAATCTCAAGAAGGTCGGCAAGGTAAGGGAAAGCCTTTTGACATTACGTCAAAATGTGGGGAAGGATATAGAAAATTGTGATTGGAGTCGCACACAAAGGATGTGGGGGAATTTTGTTATTTGGAAATAATGATTAGGTACCTAAATTAGATGAATTCTCCATTTTCTTAGTTTATTAATTGAACCTACAAATATTTTTTAATGAGTCAAAATAACAGGCGCAATTGAGTTAGAATGAGTAGACTCTAGCTCATGAAACAAAAAATAGTTACACAACACAGTACACACATACAAACTTAAGAATATTTCACTGTCACTTATGGTATTTTCACCCGAGAAAGGTTTGAGTTTGGATAAAGTGTCTTGAAATCCAATGGTGTTCAGAAAGTTTTTTCAACTTAAGATGTCTATCTCTTCCTAAATGAAACAATTAGACAACATTTTAGACCAGCACATTCTGTGAGTGGCTAGTTTTGTATAGAAAATTGGTTTCAGTACCTTCATAAAGAGTGTGTCTACTTCAGTAATTAGTCATTAAATTAAATCTGTAAAAAGAGAGATAATTATACGTGTTTCATTTTATTTCTTAATAGTATCAACCAAATCACGCAAGTACCCTACCTATTAGTGACGGACTGAAAAGTCTGTAAAAGTGTAAAATAAACGGGGCTCTTTTATTTACTTTGGTGTGTTACTATCCTAGTTGTTAGTCTTAGACTTGGATGTGAAAATGGTTGATTCCCTAGCAAGCATATTCAAAAATATTTTGAGTTTAGACCGCTTCCCCTCAAAAGGGTTTTTATTTCTAGTTGGAAAATTCCACTGGCGTTTCAACTTAGCATCTATATGTTGCAGGGTTGTTGAACGCTCTGAACATGCTGGTGCCCAAGTGTGCAGAGATTATCAGAACAGACAGGGAGAGAGAAGTGGTCATCGTAGCGCTGGAGGTCTACTCTGAGCTGCTCAAGGAAGTGGGAGCTCCGGTCTGTATCACACTATTTAGCCCAACAGTTAACATAGTTTTCAATATAAGTTTATCATTCCAATAGTTAAACTCGGTGGACATTGTGGTATAGTACAGGCGGGCCATTCAAAACGTCATATAACTTTTTATTTTTGATTAGGCCTACGTAAATTATAGTTTTTGTAGGCTTACTTTGTATTATATGTACTTACATAACATGCTGTCTTAAGTTGATCTCGATATTCGATTCAAACCTAAAAACCACTATTCGCACACCCCTAATTTTGCATGTTGGTGTTTAGGTGCTGGAAGGTGAAGGACACACAGATGCAATAATCAACTGTATAAAGGATGTACTGAACTCTAGGGTGAGTTTGTTAAATAAATATATTTTGTGAAATGTAAGCTATGCTTGGGTTTTGTGCAGTGATAATATTAGTATATTGACTTTTCTTTGTACGGTCAAATAATAGTACGTTTCATCACTAGGGCCTAAAGTGACTCTTTTCGACCCAAGCTCAATGAGCGAGGGTTGAAAAGACATTTTTTGCCCGTGTGATGAACTATATTTTTTGTCATATTGCACCATTATTCAAACAAACTATGTTACAAAACTAAAATAGTTTTCATTTAACCCTCCGAGCGTCACTCGTCGAAAAATCGACTCACGACACACTTTGTGTAGTGTCACGCGTCGATTTTTCGACACACGAACATCATTTACGGCGAAGGCTCTATGACTGATTGAATCGGATTGAACTGGATCGAGTTAGGTATCGTTCTTTTCGTTAGATTCTAAGCTTTCTCCAGAGGTCTGTCTCTAAGCACTTTATGTTCTCCGAGCCGATCGTAATTGTAGCAGACAGCTGACGTTCGTGTTTTAGACAACTTGGTTATTTCACATCGGTGACTTGTGTGTTTTTGTACGTTTATCGTAGTTTTTAGTGGTAAAAATGGACAGTAGTGATATACGTAATGCACTAGAAGATGATATTAGTGATGTTTGAAGGACTGATTGACAATCCGGATGAAGTAGGTAGTGATATTGATGTAAATTATCAGCCAGATTCCTAGCTATGGTTAGGCTATGCATTCTTAGCTAAACGCTATGTACTGAAATCTGTTTTTTGCCCATAACTTATTTATTTGCAAATCTACTTCCTTATATTATTATATTTTTGTAATCCTCATAAAATTTAGAACAAAGTGGCTATTTTCAAATATTTATAGGCCTATAATTTATACAATTTCATTGAGCGCAAACTTATTTTTTTTTCAATTTTTCCAAAATAATTTTTTTTTCCTAAAAAATTTTTTTGAAACAAATATTCCTTATGTTTTATGTATGATATTGAAGCCCATTATTTTCCAAACAAAATGGTATATAGAACAGTAGAATTAACATTGTTTTAAGCTTCTCAGATCCGTTTTAATAAAACCTTGCAAATGCGCCAAAAATAGGTGGACATTAAGGCCTAAACTATGGACACTCGGAGGGTTAAAGATAACCTCTCAAAACTACTTTTAACTTGTTTTCAATTTAATTTGGTAATCGAAGCAAGCAGCTGTTTAGTAAGTGATTCAAACGTTCCGTCTAACTCGATCATGTTAGTGTACATTATACTACGGATATGTCGAACTATTCGATTAAACAAACGACACATACTTTTGATACATGAGATTGTTTACAATCAAAATTCACAACCAGGGGCGGTTCAAATTTAATTAAATGTAAATAAAAGGAAAGCATTGAACCTCAATATTTTGCATTTCCCCCTTTTTTGCTCCACAAAGCCTCTCAAACCTCTCGTCCCCGATCAAACTCCCTTTTTGATCCTTGTCAGGCCTACCCAAAACAATATTTCTGGAGCCGCCCCTGTTCACAACTGAGTTGACAACAGCTGATTTTTACTCCCTAGGGGCTAAAAACGCTTTTTACTCCCTAGAGAGTAAAAATGCTTATTGAGACCCGCAATGCATCCATTAAAAATAGCTGTTTTTGCTGCAGTATGACAAAAAGAATTTAATTTGAGTTTATATTTTATTATTTTTGATGCAAACTTTGATAATTTTAAATTTACGTATTAGTTATGGCATTGCCTCTGTGTCAACTTTTGTGCCAGACATAAGCTTTGACTATTGATACAACTAGACATTCCATCCCCATGTTAAAGTTTATTAAAATCGTTGTAGTTGATGTGAGCCACTGACAGATTGTGCTGATTTAAATGACTAATTTCTGTTAAAAACACAAACTTGTTTATTAAGTCAAAGTGATTGAATCACTTATTGTGAGCTATAGCAACTGTTATGATCCCTATGTCAGGGACAAAAAATAAGGTAGAAAATACTAAAATAGACCTTTAGACACTAGCACATTCTGTGACTGGCTCACACAACTATGTTTTTTTTTTTTAATAACAAATTGGCGACAGCTGGTCCATATAGATGGGATGTCTAATTCAGTATCCAATAGTCATTAATATAAGGTTGCTGGGTTTCTGGAGTAATACTTAATTCACAAAGACAATTGTTGATAAACACAATTGCTGCAACAATTTGGGAATGGATTTTTAATCCTTTACGATCCTAAATACCACATTGTGGGCAGTAAATTTTGGTTGTCCTAGCTGCTCAGTCAGCAGAACGGTCTCAAAAAATTTGTTTAAAATATTTTGTTATCTGCTATATGGTGATATAATAAAACCAAATATTCTCAGTGGGATGAAGCTGCAGTGAAAATACACAAAGAAAGGTGGCCAGTGGTACTGGCCAAGCTAGCGACAGAGACAGCTGGTGTTGAAACAATCTCAAAGGAGCGAAGAAGGTTGGAAATCAGCTGTTCACTGCTGAATCATATCTTATTTATCATATTTGAACAGCTGTTTTCATTGCTGTGGTTTGATTATCCCCCACTGTACCTGTTTCCGCAGACGGAGTGCCAAGACGAGGGAGGTGATGACACCGAGGAGGAGTCTGAAGGAGATGAAGTGATTGTAGAGAGCGCTGGAGAGATCGTCCCTCTACTAGGCAAAGTGATGGCGCCTCAAGAGTTCTCCCAACATTACACACAATTCATTCCCATGTTTTTCAACCTAACCGTAAGTACAGATGATAATTATTCATAGGCAAGTGTCCAAGAATAACTCATGTATAAATTATCTTCCCAATTGTTTCTTTTATCTATCCATATTTCCTTTCACAATGTTCTTGTCAAATCTTGGATCGAACAATTTGACAAACAATTGGATCGGAATGATGCTTTTCGATTGGCCAAAGTTAATTCACATGTATTATTCCAGGATGCTTGCATTAACTTGCCTAGCCCCCCTAGGCCTACCTGCCAAACCACTTTTATTTTGCTCTCGTAGGTTTGTCATTTTGAAAGAATTAAATGAAGATTTTTTTTGGCCACGTGACCGTTTTTTATACTATACACTTTAACCTGTATACTTTCTCTGTGTGATCTTTTTATCCTCATGAATTGCTTAAGATAGTTCAATGTTTCTGTTTGTTATGTATAAAATGCATTTTATGACAGGTTAAAATTTAAAGTAAAGGTTAAGGTTAAGTAAGGTTAAATTTCTATAGTACTTAAAATATTAACACCAATTACCATACGTTCATTTAATGTTGTGGTTTTTTTAGTACGATTCCTGTGTCATATTGAAATGTAGTTTTGGTAATATAAGATAATAAAGTATTTTTGTTGAAGAGGAAGCAAGCTTCAGACGCACAGAGATCGTTTGGTGTTGGAATGTTGGCGGACTGTATGTCTGTTGCTGGTCCATGCCTACAAACATACGCTCAACAACTACTTACGCTGCTGCTCACTATGACGAGAGACAATAATGCTGAAGTTAGAAACAACGCCATTTTTGCTCTGGGCGAACTTGTATACCACGGCCGAGACTGTGTTTTTCCGTATCCTTTTGAATAATGTCTTGTAATTTATAATTCTTTGTACAATATTATTAGTTTTTGGCCTGATTACAGTTAAGGATTGATAAAATAAGCTTTTACCCGATACCAGCAAGATCGGACTGTGGGAACAGGGTTTTATGGGGTAAAAACATGTATTCCTACTTTTTACCTTCAAAACCTAAAATTTTGCTATTTCTTTCCAAACCATTTTGTAGACCTTAAAAACAAATAATTTACTAGCCTATTAAAGCAGCTTTGTATGACTGATAATAGTTGCAAAGAAAATTAATTTTAAAAACTGTACATTTAAAGTTTTATGCTATTCATAATGGAGAATAACTAAAAAGATTTTTTATAGATATATTTTGATAACATTTGGCAAATTTCTTTTTTCATAGGCCTACTAAGCTATTTACATTACCTTTCCTGTAGCAGCAAACCAAAGTACTCGTTAAGAGTAATGTTTTTTAAATAGGGAATAAATCCGACAACTTAAAGGAAATATTTGATTGAAAATCCAATGAGGGAAATTGAAATTTGCTTAGTCTGCAGGTTTGCCGCAGCGGGGGTTGTCTCACTCCTCGTGTTTACCTTGACTTTATTTAGCTTCTATGGGGAGATTTTGCATACCTTGTCCACTGCAGTGGCCACAGAGACGAATCCTGGTGCTCTTGACAACATATGTGGTGCCCTGGCGCGGCTGATCATCACCAACACGGACGCTATCCCCCTGCAACAGGTAGGCTAACAAGTTTTTTATACTGTTCTTTTGGGTCAGTGAACAGTGACAACAGACTAAGCTGGGATAACCACATTACACAACTTTGTAAAAGATTGGCTAGAATAACCTGTCTCTTGAGAAAACTTAGATCATGTGTGAGTTTTAACACTTTGATAATGACTTACTACGGTTTGTTTCACTCACAGCTGCTTTATGGTTTGCGTCTCTGGGGTGGTTCACATTTAGCTCAGAAAGCATTTGTTTGGCAAAAGAAAGCTCTTAGAGCCATGCTAGGATTGCAAGATCATGAATCCTGTAGGGATCACTTTTCCAATTTAAATTTGCTTACACTGCCATCTATGTACATTCTTTGTAATTTAATTCATATAAAAAACAACCTAGTCACACCTCAAATCAGACTTTCAAAAACTTTAAATAGCCATTTTTACATCCAACATATTTTCTTCAACAAGCTACCCACTTGTTTTCGTAAACTACCTTTAAACCAATTTAAAAGAAAAATTACTGAGATTTTAAAATAAAAAGCATTTTACACGCAGGAAGAATTTTTAAATAGTGACATATCATGTTTAGATTCTATAATTGTATATATTGAAATTTATAATTTATTGATGTATGATCTATTTTTAAGTACTATTGTAACAATGCCTATTACAAAATGTAATGTTTAATGGCTGCAATAAATCTTATTGAATCTTATTGTTCCTTGCTGAACGTACTGACTATAAATTAATGATGCTATCTTAATGTCTACAGTTCCTGTCTATTTCAGATCGTTTAGAGAAATCCTGGACATTTCAGTTGGGTCTCGGGAGTCGGGAATCCCCAAAAACCCACGTACTTTAATGATGTATCCCCAATTTCACAACCTGTAAATGCTTTAGTTTTTCGAAAGAAGTAATACAGTATCTAGTCCACAAGTTTTTCCGATATGTTAAGTATTTTGTTGAGAGTTTGGTTATTATAAGTTAGATGTAGCTGCGAGCTGTGCTACTAATTTAATTTTATTGTTAATGTTAACTATATGTTGAATTGTATAAAAAAGAGGATAGTAGCTAGCTTACCTTGAAAGTGTAGGTAGGCCATAGACCATATAGAAGATAAACTGTGCACACAATATTTCGTCCCCTGAGGGACTTTGTCAAGTGTAGAGAAAGGGGTAGAGTTCACAAATTACAAAATGGCTCCAGCCCTGACAAAGTCCCTCAGGGGACGAAATATTGTGTGCACAGTTTATCTTCTATATGGTCTATGGCCTACCTACACTTGCAAGGTACGTTAGCTGCTATCCTCCTTTTTATACAATTCAAAATCCTGGCCTAGGGCCTTTCCTTGAAAAAAACAAACCTTATTGTTAACTATAGTTATTAAACTATTAAAGTTATGAAATCAACATCTCTTTTTCAGCTAACACTAACTTGTCTTGTAGTAATTTGTAAATATTTCACCATACTTTGTTGTAACATGTCAACAAATTTTCCGGTGAAGCTTAAAAGTTTTATCAGTAACTTATATTTTACACAAAAACTCTTGGTAAAGGGCTCTAGGCCAGAAAAAAGTTGATTTTGTTCTTAATATGTGGACACACTGTGCAGTTCTTTTCCATATCAAGTACTCCTGAAAATTGTTTGAATGAAAAGGTAAACGAAAATCCCCAAAACACCTCTGATATTTCAAATGACAGAAGTTAGAGACACTGTATCTAACAAAACGTCAACGTTGTTCAATAACCAATGGTGGGTGTGTTGCTAGCTCAGTAGTTAGCTCGGACTTCGGTGCACGAGGGACAGGTTCAATTCCTGGCACACACACAAAACTTTAATAGATTTGGACCGCTTTCCCTTGAAAGTGTTTAAATTTATTCATTACAAAAATGCCTCTGGCGTAGACACGAGCGAAAATAAAAATAGCAAGACAAGCGTTCCGACCGTTTCCCTACAAACGTAAAATGTTCCAGAGCCGTAAAAAACACATAATTACTTTGTATCTGTTCCTTTTTCCCAGGTGGTTCCTGTGTATGTCCGCTACTTGCCACTAAGGGAGGACTTTGAAGAGAACAAGTGGATCTACCAGAGTCTAGGACTGTTGTATCAGCGCGGCTGTGAGCCTCTGCTGCAGAACCTGCCTGCCGTCATCTCCTCCTGCGCTCACACACTGCACAACAATCACATCGAGGCTGGTACGCAACATTCACAGCTGTAGCCAATATTTCATTCAAATTGAAAATAGTTGAATATGAGCCATTAACACATTCGCTGTGGGTCACTCACCTAGTGCTCTAGTAACTTTCGTTCTCCGGCGTCACCTACATTCCATTCAATTTCTGCGCAGCAGGACACCAGGAAGAACGAGTATTTTATGTCTGGGTTTAGGAATGGGTGCTTTGTTGTGGTGTAGGTTGGTATGGTAGTAAATCTCCCAGTAAAATCCCCTTCTAGCAAGCTTAGAAATTAACTTGTTGTCCCGTCTTTCTCCTATTGGCAATACTGTACATGGGATTGGCTAGTTCCAGACAGTACTGCTATTTGTGAGTGTTTTAGCAAACTACGTCGACTCTCATCGTAACACAGCATATCATTTCCTATTTGTCAAAACAAAATATTTTAAAGCCAAACGGGTTTGGTAGATGCTGCTTTGCACCAGGGCCCTGCCATTGGTGGGACGCAGCTAACGTGTTAACATAAGGGTTCTTCAGTCTAGGATTATAAAATGTCACTTTAGTATTTATTACTGAAATAGTTGATGGGAAAAAAGTTTATTTATTCTGCTATTTTATTCATGTACTAAATTAGTGGTTTATATAGTGAAATTTCTTTTTTTCAGGGAACCGTCACATAATTGTAAATTTGTTGAAGAGTTGCCATAGAGATTTCCCCGCAGAAATCAATACCGCAGCAAGCTTACTCCCTGAAGATGTGAGGGCAACATTGCAGCAAGCTTGTGTTTCGTAATGTTGATACTGAACATTTAAATTAGGGTTTTTATTTATTATCAAAGAGTTTGGCTTTAATACGCTTAAAAAAAGTAAATACAAAAACATTGTTATAACATTTTTGTAAATAAACGTTGCTTTGAAAGACTTGTGGTTTAATTGTTTGCAATTTATATTGTGTATTTTATACAAACTAAGCACGACTGGTCGCAATCTTGTTCACTGAGACAATAAAAAACAAAACATTCATTTACCTTATGGTTGATTGTACATGGTATTTCCTAAGTTCAATGCAGGAAATTGTTCAGTCAGGGTGGTTTAAGTCCCTGGTGAATCTGGCGACAACGATGATGATGAGAAGTGCTGTGTTACTAGGGTCCTGCCACTTCATGGCCATGTACCACATGATCACACAGCATAGCTGGAGATAAAGGAACTGAACGTATTTGAACTTTGGTTGGAACAGCCAACTTAATATCAGTCAACTTATAAGCAATATTCCTCAGTATATCATTCCACAAAACCAAAATGTCTCTTTTTAGTTTGGACAAGGCTAACGAACGGTGTGAGTAGCTCTACAAGCTCGTTGTACCTTTCCAACCTTATTTTGTGAGTTACTGAAGAGTTACTGTTGATCTCTATCCCACTTCTTCAATTTCAGCAATTGCCATTTAACCTTAAACCAGGCGAGAGGGTTTTGGTAGTTGTAAACCATGGGAAACGTTCGGTTCTTTGTTTCCCTCTAGGGTATCTGGGTGGTGTGAAGTTTTCTGCGAGCTGAAACATTTTGTAAAGTGTATTTGCTTGTATTGGCTTCAAATCCTCTAAAAAATCTCACTGTCGGATACTTAAACATATTATCTAATCCTCTAACTCCAGACACTAATATTGTGATCAAATTACTTTATTAACAGACTTATTAACAGAACTATTTTTTTTCTATTACTAAACCTTCATTCGATTTTTTCATTGTCAGCGAGTTTGGTTAGTTTCGTTAGGTTATGATAGTTTAATTTTATAACCAAAAAAATTTTAAAATTTAATTTGAGGTATTTATTTATAATTTTATTTTATGAACAGAACTATTTTTTTGTTTAGTAAACCTTCATTATAGCCAAGTGCTCTCCACTACAGCGCTGTTCACGTAGGAATTTTGAACTAATATGCCTCATTTATAGCTCCCGTAAGTCAGACCCAATTAATAGTTTCCTAGCAAGACTTGACAACAAATTGTTTGTATAATAGTTTAATTTATTTACCTTACATTGTATTTTACTGAATGTTGTGTTGTTTTGGTTACAGTTTGTTGTAATGAAATGAATGTTTGAAAGTTATTATTATCAGTTACCCTTATCAGTTACCCTTATCAGTTACCCTTATCAGTTACCCGTTACATTACCATATCATGTAATTATTTACAATGAAAATCAAAATTCCGTGGTAGTGTTGTCTGTTGTTTGGTTAACTTTCGTATTTTATCCAAATTTCAAATTAAATGCAACCAGTAAGACGAAGAACTGTGAGTGGCTGGAGGAAACGCGAACGTGGCCGCTTGCATCAACCTCCCAATGGAAAATTTGAAGGTTACAGAGTGTGGCAGTACCACTGTGGTGATACTGATACATCCAACCTCGGACTCGTTTATTGGAGAAATTATCAACATAATTGGACAAATTAACATCAAATGTTTACATTGTGGTGACTTAAATTTTATGCAAAAAAACCTGGCCGAGACAGTTCAATTGTTACTCATTGTTGAGAAAACTGTTTAGAGGTGTATAGTCAATGGTTTAACTCATCTGCGGAATTTACCATACTATCAGGAACTTATTGGAAACTCCCAATCTGGAAACAGAGCTGGGAGGCTTTGATCTAGAAATTATTTGGATAAAATTCATCGATTCAATTCCGCCTTTGCCATGGTCAGCTCTGAAGCTCATTTAGATTAGAGGATCACACAGGGGATCTAAAAATTCAAGATCCATGACACGTTTTACGAGTAGGTAGTACATGGACAGATGTATAAGTACGGCACTGGAACCCAACAACAGCGCATAAAACACAATTCAATGAAAAAATGCAATAAAAAATATTCGGGAAATAGAGTCATATTGCCAACCTATTTGCCCAATCTTTTAAAACTGTGGCAGAAATGTCTAGGGGCAAGAGCTCCGAGGAGTCAAGTGAGATTCTTATGTACATACCACTAATGTTCCCAACCGGAGACTTTGGTTGGGGCCTCTAATTTAAACACGCCTCGTAAGAATAATTCAGCAATGCTGTAGTAGTGTCGTACTGGTTGGTGTCAAGATAGTTGTGTAACAAAACTGCAATTTTACAAATCCAATTTGGTTGGCTTCTTGATTCCACAAGCCATGTTACTTTGTCTTTTATTTCAATTACTTTTCCAAGGAGCCAAGTAACTCTTAGTTTATTTTCTGAATGCACAAGTACAATGTCTCCCAAATTAATTTCACAATTTTTGTTTACGTTCTTTTTAGAGGAAATTAGAAAACCCAAGTATTCCTTTTGAAATCTTTTTCTCAGTCCTTCTCGAATACTTAGTATAGCATATACTTCCATCTACTGTTCAAACTTGTCTTCTCTAATAAATCTAAATCTGATACATCATTTCCTTGTATAGATTGAATAACATATATATGGTGTCAGGGGTTTTAGATCTTCAATCTTTAGTGTTTTCTGAGATGTATGCGAGAGGTCTGCTGTTTAATTCCTTCGCACTCACATACCAAGGTGTTCAGCAGTTCTTCATGATTTAGAGAAGCACTTCTTAAGTTTCGTCCCAGCAGCTCTTTCAGAATCCTCACCTAACGTTCCCAGAAACCTCCCCATACCAAGGGACAGCAGGAGGATAGAATCCCCAAACGATATTCTTTACGTAAATAATTCGATGGATTTTTGCTACATTAGGTCTGAAAAGCTCACTTTACAGTGTGTGTGGTTGACATCTACGTTCTCATATAGAAAGTAGGCACCCCGGCCGCCTTTAACTCCCACGGCCTGGTAGATTTGGCAACGTCCTAAGTAGGGTTGTTTAGTGTCAGACGTCCCATAAGACAGGTGACGTAAGCTCATTAGTTCTATTGATTTAAATTTACCTATGAACATTCATTTATTAAAATATTGAAATTAAAACATACATAATTGAAAACCAAAACAATATGAATTGAAAATCTATATCTGTACATTTAAAGTGGACTCAATTGATTCAATAGTTCAGTAACCGAGCTTTCGTATATACACAAACTATTAGCTGCTTCCAAACAAAACAGCTGCTACAACCATACTTGCGACGTTGCCACTTCGAAGGCCGCGGCCTGGAGTTAAACAGTTAAAGGCGGCCGTGGAGGGCACCCGCTTGCAGGCACGACCTTTAACTCGGTGGCCGTGCTACAATACATAAGAGATAACCAAAGCTGTATGAGAGCGGATCTATATTTAAGTTGTAGGTTACTTTTATAATTTTTTACAACATAATATTTTTCATATTTCTATAATTAGTCATAGACTTGACTCTTTGAATGACTCTTTAATTGAGGTCTTGTTGTTCATGTTTTTTTAATTTTCTATTACAAGTTGCAGTTTATATTTGCTCGATTTCGAGCATCAGGCTATCTAATTGGTGTATCTAACCAACCTTACCGTCAGTTATTATAATCGTTTTATAATTAACTATGTTATTACCGTAACAATGTTTTGAAAGTAGTGGTGGTTTTATTTTATTACACGTATGCCAGTATTTTCAGAACACTGTTATGTTCAGGACAAGGTCAATGTTGGTCACTCTTTTCAAGATCCGCGACCCGCCTTTCGTGTTTTGTTCTTCTTTTCGTCCATTCCGGTTCTTTCTTTACTGGAGATACCTTCTTGTGGCATTTGTCGACGTAAGTAAACTTGTTAATATTTTAGTTTTACAATAGCCATTAAAATTAATTAGGCCTACTTTTGAATGTATAAAATGTCAATTGCTTAATTGATGTGTTAAAATATTGAAAGTGCATTTCCAAATTATTTAGCAACGGTTTTATTGTTCTGCTAACCTCGAATCGTCGTTCTTCACGTGGGTGCCTTGGCACAAACCAGGCTTAGCTCAAATATTGTCTTCTCAGAAGTAATTCCATGGTTTTGTAAAGCATTTATTCTTGGTTTGGTTGTGTAAGTTAATGGCTTGAAGGTTGACTCAGTTTAATGAGACAAAAATACAGTACCTTGGCCTATAAGCTCGGTTGTCAGTTGCAGCTACGTTAGGAAGCCCTCCTATCTGCTATCCAATAAATTCCAAAATCTCAGGTAGGCCTCTACGCACCCTAGGCCTAGTTCTTATGATTTTACTACTGTTATTGATGGTGTAAATAATATTAGGAGTTAGGGCCTACCTATCTTAGTAGGCTAGGCCTACAATGGGATTTTTAACCCTAGATCTGGCGCTGGTCGATTATTGACCACTAAAACATGGGTACTCAGTGGCGCTGGTCGAATATCAATGAAGACAACATGAGTCTGGATTTTCTATCATTAAATTATGATAACCGTTGAAGCGTTAGGACATTGTGCGCCTAATGGTTACGATGGAAAAAACTCCAAAATACCCCCGCCGCAGCAAACCTGTCGACTAAGCGAATTTCCATCTGAATGATTTTCAATTAAATCCATTTAATTAACATTAGGTTTAACGAGTACCTAGGTTTGCTGCCACAAGGAAACTTAAACTAATGAAGTGTGTTTTAGTAAAATATTAATAGCTTAGTATAAAATAAATAAATTTGCCAAGTTTGATCAAAATATATCCATAAACAAACAAACAAACTACATTTTCAATATTCTCCATAAGAACAACATGGGAATTTTTCATTTCAAGGCCTACAATTTTTTGAATTTTCTCCGTTGCCAAAAACCGTACAAAAACACTTTGATATACTAAATTATTTGTTTTTTTAAGCTCTTTAGTATGGTTTAGATATCAATTGGGAAATTTTGTGTTTTAGGGTTCAAAGATGAGAAAAATCAATTTTTACCCCATAAAACCCCCCGTAAAACCCTGTTCCCATGGTCCGATCATGCTGGTTCGCGAACTCATTCAAGTTTATCCCGCCTTACACCTATAAACCAAATTTCATGAAAAGCGGACAAAAATTACTCAAGTTATCGTGCGGATGGACACATATAGATATATAAAAATTTGAACGAATGGTGTTTTTGGCCTCTGGGGACATCAAAATGAAAAAGTAAATCGGTCCCGGGCCTAGGTCTTACCATGAGACCTACGGTAATAGCTACTTCCCTATAGGGAAATTCGCTAAAATTATAACTTTAATTTAAAATTCCCATGTTATTCTTATGGTTAGGTAAAATGAAAACTGTTGTAGTTTGCTTGTTTATGAACATATTTTAATACAATTTTGAAAATACATTAAGTAATTTCTTACCAAACTAACATCTCACAAACAAAGACTTTTTACCCTCCTTGTTGCAGGAAACCTAAGTACTCGTTAAACTAATTCTAGCCTATTTAAATATGGAATAAATGTGACACTTAAAGGAAGCATTTTAGTTTAAATCCAATCAGGCTAATCGAAATTCGCTTAGTCTGCAGGTTTACTGTGGCGGGGGTATTTAAGATTTACCGGTACTAGGCTATTATCAAGGTCAGACTGATGCCTAGAATATAGCTGAGTCGAGTAAGTTATTTACTTGACTCGAGTCAAACTCGACTCACGACTAAGTTACTATACGAGTATGTCAACTTGAGTCAGACTCAACTCAGGTATTATCGTGAAACATCGGCTTTCATCCGTCGAGTTCGGGTTGACTTTGAACGCAGCCAATAGGGTTAGCCTAGATAGTTTGGCTAGTTGGCTCAACTCGCATTCAGCCAATAGCGTTTAAGTTTCCCGAGTCATCTCATTACTTGCGAGTTCGTAAAGATTTGGCTTTCTCTGTATCAATTCGGTTTCTTGACTCGCTTTGAGCCAATAGCATTTAAGTTTTGCGAGTCGGGACTCGTTACGTTCCCAGTTCGTGTAGGCCTAGCTTTGGCAAACTCCGTACGAGTTTGTACCAACTCGAGTTGTGAATGAGATGACAATTGTCAACTCGACTCATCAACTCAGCTTCTCACTTCACTACTCAACCTTTCTTAGCTTCCACACTTGAGACAAAAACTACAGTGGACATTTTTAATTACAGGCTTTCCATTACTTACCAAAGCGTTAAAATGTCTGAAGGACTAGACGTGCTAAGTCTTAAAGAGGAAGATGTAACCAAGATGTTGTGTGCTGGCACCCACATCGGTAGCGAGAATGTGGACTACCAGATGGAGCAGTATGTCTACAAACGTCGTGCTGACGGTGAGTGTTCATGCTTAGTAATTTACATAGGTACCAATAATTCTTACTTTATTTTTATTAACTCTCAAGATATTCTTTAAAGAACTCTATTTATAGAATATTTGACTTAGATGAAATGTCTTTTTTCCTGTTGTGACGGTGAGGTTCATGGTAGCCTAAGCAAGGTATTACCGTAGGTCTCATGGTAGGACCTAGCCTCAGGACCAATTCACTTTTTGTTTTTTAAAGCCTTAGAGGCCCAACACCATCCATTCAAATTCATGGTTAAATACAGGGTGACCAAAAAGTCTAGAAACGGCTTAATATCTTTTTAACTAAATCTGTTAGAAAATCAAACCTTTTGCATCAACTTATGTATCATGAAACTACCTTTTGCAAGCATTCATTGTTTGACCTCCACCAGGGGATGGCCCATGAGGAGAAGAGTAGGTAGATAATCTTAATGTAAGCGTAGGTTAATATGCACACTATTCTAAAGGGCTGGGCAAGTGGAGTTCATTGCCGGAAACCGCGTCTCAAAAGGTTCATCTGTTACAAAATTGCGGTTGTCCTAAGTTCTTGTGGTAAATACCTGCACAGGCCTTAGTATTGGTAGACCTAATACATTAGTCAACATAAGCTAGAGAGCTGAAACCCGGTTATTTTGGTTTGAATATTGAATAATATTAGTCTCGGAGCTAGTTGAATTTTGATCTCCACTCCAATAGGGGACGGCCCATGAGGAGTAAGTATTTAAATTATCTTAAACGTGAGTAAAATGGTAGGTACGTTGACTGGTAGATAATGGTAATGCTTGCATATAAAGTAGTTTACATAAGTAGGTATACTAGTTGATGTGAAAGGTTTCAATTTTCTATCAGATTTAGTTAAACAGATTAAGCCGTTTCCAGACTTTTTTGTTACCCTGTATTATTTATTCACTGTAAGCCTATTAAGTTAACTAAAGTAAAAATGATCCTATTTTTATGACATTCAGTACAAATAGTTTAAACCTACATTATAATGCTTATGAGGTCACGAACCAGCATGATCAGACTAAGAATGGGAATGGGGTTTTATGGGGTTGAAACTGGTTTCCCCATCATTCAGTTTTTGGCCCTCCAAACAAGAAAACATTATTTTTTCCAAACAATTTTGTAGAGCACAACAATTTTTAACTTTAAAAACAAACTTTATTTAAAAAGTTATACCTATTGAAGCATTGTTTTATGCTACTTATGGTTAGGGAAAATACCCCCGCCGCAGCAAACCTGCAGACTAAGCGAATTTCCATTAACCTGATTAGATTTACATTAAAATGCCTCCATAAAAATAGCACATTTATTTCCTATTTAAATAGAATAAGTTTAACGAGTACTTAGGTTTGCTGCAACAGGGAGGGTAAAAAGGTTTTTTTTTTTAAATTGAGAATAGTTTAGTAAGAAATAAAAGTATTTTCCAAAATCGATCAAAATATGTTCATAAACAAGCAAACTACAACAGTTGACTTATTCTCCATAAGAATAACATGGGAATTTCAAAATTACAATTTTTTTGAATTTTCTCCGTAACAAATAGGCGCATAATAACGCTTCAATATACTAAATTATTTGTTTTTTTAAGCTCTACAAAATGGTTTAAAAAGAAATTGTGAAATTTCATGTTTTTAGGGTCAAAAATGGGAAAAACCTATTTTTACCCCATAAAACCCCCCATAAACCCCCGTTCCCATAGTCCGATCATGCTGGTTGGCGAACTCATTCTAGTTTATCCCGCCTTACACCTTCAAACCAAATTTTATCAAAATCGGACAAAAATTACTCAAGTTATCGTGCGGATGGACACATATATATATATATAACATATACATATATATTTACATATATATATATATAACATATACATATATATTTACATATATATATATATATATATATATATATATAGATATATAAAAATTTGAACGAATGGTGTTTTTGGCCTCTGGGGACATCAAAATGAAAAAGTAAATCGGTCCCGGGCTTAGGTCTTACCGTACCATGAGACCTACGGTAATAGCTACTTCCCTATAGGGAAATTCGCTAAAAGAAACAATTTTTTTCTTAGAGAGCTAAGAATTATAGGCTAACTGCATTAGCCTAGCTTGCTTGTTTTTGTTTTTCTTGGTTATAGGGTTATAGACATATTTTATCAAGTTTGTAAAATAGCCTTTTTGTCATTTATCTATTGACATTTTACGGTGAACACACTTTATTACCTCCTTTGTTGCTACAAACCTAACTACCGGTACTCATTTAATCTTAATTTATTTAAAAAGGGAATAAATTTGACATATTTGGGAAATATTTAAATGTAAGCTAAGTTGAATCTGGTAAATGGCAATTCGCTTAGTCTGCAGGTTTGCAATGGGGTATTGTTTGATGAAAGAGCATAAAAATATAAGAGACTGAGAGTATTTGTTGAAATGTCTTTATTTGCTTTTAACATGAAAAACATGCATTGCAATCGTCAATCTTATTATGGTATGGTAGGCCTACTCTAGTAAACTTAGGATTATTCTAATTGAAATAAATGGTCAACTGGATTTAAGTAGACTCTCACTGATTTACCTTCAAGGATTGAAATGAAACAATCTTGCTAAAGCAAATTCTTGCATGTGCAGAGGCCTAGCTTAAAAAGCTTGCTTGCAGTTTACTTAAAAATTGTTTTGTTTGCTAAGGTATCCACATCATCAATCTGCGCCGCACATGGGAGAAGCTTCTTCTGGCTGCACGAGCCATTGTTGCCATCGAACATCCAAGTGAAGTGTTTGTCATCTCTTCTAAGCCCATGGGCCAACGTGCCGTGCTCAAGTTTGCCTCTTACACTGGAGCCACTCCCATCGCTGGCCGCTTTACTCCTGGAGCCTTCACTAACCAGATCCAGGTAGGTCTGTAGTAAGGATGTGGATAAAACGTTTACAATGTTAATTAGGGTGTTTTTTATTTTTGTCCTAACCAATGGAGGGCTATGTGACTTGTTATGGGATTATACATTGTGAGAAAAATATATGGGATTTAAATAAGTGTAAGCAAATGCTCTGTCACTTTTGGAGGACTAAGTGTGTTTTCTATAGCCAAAAACACTGATTAAAAAACTGTTTAGCAGACTATGTTAAAAAAAACTTGGGCAAAATGTCTAATTTTAATGACATTTGTGTAAAATAAATTCTAACAATGCTAAGTATATTTTTGAATTACTTGGGTTCACAAATCATACAATAATTTTAGGCCTACAAAATTGAACCAAGCCACAAAAGACAACTACGCTGTAACCTAATAAGCCACCACCTAGTCCCCCCCCAGTGAACTTAAGGCGGGTATTTCTCCATACTCTGCTTAATATTACCTAGGGCTGTGCCATAGTAGGAATCTACTTTTTGGTGGATTAATCTCTAATCTGGTAATGCTTTGTTTGAATACAATTTATACTGGGTGTAAATGATTGTGGAAGTGCGTGGTGTGTTTTAGGCAGCATTCAGAGAGCCTCGTCTGCTAGTGGTGACCGATCCTGCCACTGACCACCAGCCCATCACTGAGGCCTCATACGTCAACATTCCTGTCATTGCGTTCTGCAACACCGACTCTCCTCTCAGATTTGTTGACATTGCCATTCCCTGCAGCAACAAGGTATGGTGTATATTCGACTGGAGAAAATGGGAATTGTACTGAAATTTTGGTAACCGGGTAAAAGTCTTTGAACACAGGACTGGAAGATATATAAAAAAAAAAAAAAACACCAGAAGTTTTTATTCACAGTGTTTCATTGCTTTGTAAAGAAAATCCCTATCACATGACATGATCCTGATCCCGCCATAATCACAAGCCAGTGAAATTTTAATCAATGTAACCACCTACAGTTAGATCTGAATAACTACATGTTTGCTAGTTTTGATTAATTTATTGTAGTTGTTTATTTATTTTTGTAATTTTAACTTTTATCTAATATATAAAATTCTCGTGTCACAGTGTTTGTCTGCAAACTCCTCCGGAACGACTTCACCGATCGTTATGAAATTTGGTGTGTAAATTCTGTAGGTATGCGAATCGGACGTTAACTATTTCCCGTTTCGAAATTCTTAAAAGGGCTCTGCCCCAGTGGCTCTGGAGTTTCCCATGTTAACCTTATGAGAAATGGAATTAATGAATCTTAACAGCTGTTTCAATTAAACAAGTTGGTTCTGTTCTATGATGTTCAAAAGCATTAAAGTTACAAGGATTACCAACAGGGTGCAGCACTATTATTTCTTTTACATTTATGACAACAGCTAATTTGCAACCAAAAGGTGAGTGAGCGTAGCGAACGAACTTCAACCTGGAGGCGAGTGAGCGTAGCGAATGAGTATCATTGCTAGATGCAGCTGACCTGAAGGCAAGTGAGCGCAGCGAACGAGCTCCAACCCAAAGGTGAGTGAGCGTAACGAACGAACTTCAACCAGGACGTGATTGAGCGATGCGAACGAGATCATCTTGAAAATTAAACGTAACGGTACTTTCTTTCCATCGGTCTGTCTTAGGGGAAACCTATAACTTAGGCGATACGAAGTTTGCCGGGTCAGCTAGTTATTTAAAAAAATCATCTTAGGCCTATAAGTTCTTTGAAGGCTTTTTTATGTACATGTAGGCAATAAGTTTTTTAGAATTTAGTTTTGGTTAAATTGACCTATTATCTAGTGCCTGATCACAGTTCCTATTTTTGCTTGACTGTAAAAACACCTGCTAAACAAAATTCTATGTTGATGTAAGTGTTTGATGTATTCCAGTCTCCCCACTCCATCGGTCTCATGTGGTGGTTGCTGGCCAGAGAAGTCCTACACTTCCGTGGCTCTGAGCCCAGGGACAAGAAGTGGAACGTCGTTGTCGACCTCTTCTTCTACAGAGACCCTGAAGAGGTATGTTTATCAATCTTGATAAGCCAGACATTTATCTTAAGCTTATTGTTATTTTAAAGGTGTATTAGAGCCTACCCAATAGTACAACATAACATTTCATATTGTGTACAATATAACATTGGCAAATGTGTTCATCAGTTCATGTAACACACACTCTTTTGTTTATTTATGCCATTGGTACTTTTTACATTTTTGTGTCAAGAAACATTTTAATCTTGGTCTTGTTATCATTGGAATTGACCTTTTGTTTGTTAAGGCCGGTACTCACTAGGACACCCGGTCGCTTATCAACCGGCGACCTGGTTGACGAGCGACCAAATTGCACAAATATCACCGTGTGTGTATGGGTCTGTCAATTTGATTGACGACGATTTGTAGGTTGCCAGGCAACATTTTGGTTTTCGGACATGTCTCGAAAACCTGGGGGTTTCCGATCAACCATTTTATCGCCGGGCAATCGGATTTCTCAAAAAAACTAGAGTGTGTACGGTTGAGCGACTAAGTTGATCATCTAAAAACAGCTTGGGCATGCGCAATACAACGAAAAATGAACTTACGAAACAAAACTATGTTAAAATCTCAATCTGCCGTCCTTTTTTTCTATGTGAGGTGTCACGGGCGTCACTGGTTGCTTAGTATGACGGAAACTGTCATCTGACATATGTAAATAGTTCTTATAATCCTGAGGATTTTCAAGTCGCAAAGCTCGTAGGAGTGCCAATGTGGCTGTAACTATTTCTACGTTAAAGCCACCCTTTAACCCAAAATCTTCTAAACAATTTCTTTCTTCTTCCCTACTTCCCATAATTTTAAATATAACAGGGTGTATACCAACCGGGAGAACTGGGAAATAACCTTAAATATGAAGGGACCGGGAAAAAGCCGGGATTTTTGGACCGATTCCGGGATTTTTATTTTAGCCCCGGTAGAAGATTGTAGTCGTAAAATGCGTCTTGCCGCGATTGCGGGCGACGACGATGACGTTTTTGTGACCGCGGGAGACGACGATGACGTTTCAGTGATCGCAGGATAGACAATGACATCAACACGTCCGCGGGAAATGTTCATGATCTGCCGCAATTGCGGACGACAACGATGACGTTTCCATGACCGCGGGAGACGACGATGACGTTTACGTTACCGCGGGAGACGACGATGACGTTTACGTGACCGCGGGATCAACGATGATGTATACACTGCCGCAAGAAATATTCATGATTTTGCCGAGATCACGGACGACGACGATGACGTTTCCTTGACCGCGGGCGACGACGATGATTATGTCTACAGATGTTTATAATTTTGCCGAGATCGTGGACGACGGCGATGACGTTTCCATATCTCCGAAAGGCAATGATGATGTCTACACGGCCGCGGAAGATTTTCCTGATTTGCCATGACCCCGAAAGACGACGATGATGATTTCTATACGGCCGCGAGATATGCTCATGATTTTGCCGTGATTGCGGCCGACGACGATGACGTTTCCTTGACTGCGGGTGACGCCGATATTGTTTACACTGCCACGGGAAATATTCATTATTTTGCCGAGATCGTGGACGATGACGTTTCTGTGACCGCGGGAGACGACGATGACGTTTCCGTGACCGCGGGTGACGACGATATTGTTTACACTGCCACGGGAAATATTCATTATTTTGCCGAGATCGTGGACGAAGACGATGACGTTTCCGTGACCGCCGGAGACGACGATGACGTTTATGTGACCGCGGGATCAACGATGATGTATACACTGCCGCGGGAAATATTCATGATTTTGCCGAGATCGCGGACGACGACGATGACGTTTCCTTGACCGCGGGCGACGACAATGATGTTTACACTGCCACGGGAAATATTCATGATTTTGCTGAGATCGCGCACGACAACGATGACGTTCCTGTGACCGCGGGAATCAATGATGGTGTCTACACGGTCTCGGAACATTTTTGTTATTTTGCCGTGATCGCGGTTACGTGACCGAGGGAGTCGTGATGATGTCCACACGGCCGCTGAAGATTTTCGTGATTTTGCCGCGATCGTGGATGACGATGATTACGTTTCCGTGATCGCGAGAGACAGCGATAATGTATACATACCGCGGGAGATGTCCAGTATTTTTTAATGATAACTTAAGACTGTGATGAGGTTTTCGTCACCGTGGGAAGCGACCACACGACCGCAGGAAATATTCAGGATTTTGCCGCCGTTGATAATGTGTTCATAAAAAATGAAGATAATATTCATGATTTTGCTGCTATCGAGAGAGACGATGTTTCCGTGGACTTAAGTAATGATGATAATGAAAATTATTACTTTTTCAACACTACTAGCCCACTAGACTTTGAAACAAATTTGATGTAAGTTTATATTGTATACTTAAGCTGCAAGTCTTAAATTGATTATAGTTTAAGTGGAACCAAACAAATACGCGGGTACCTGGAAAAACTTTGAAAAACCAGGAAAAAACCTGGAATTTCACTTTAATAAAATAGTATACACCCTGTATAATCAAAACTTTGGCAGCAATTTCTTCTTCGTCGGGGGGCATGGTGTTGTCACTTAGATACTCACTTAGATAGGCTTAAGCGCGAACCAGAACAAAACACATTGTCTATCCCCACCAAATTTTGATTGATTTCCAGCTTGGTTGAAAGTGCTAGGTATCCTAGTCTGTACCCCCCAGCAATAAAACATTCAATCATCAACTTAGTCGCTAGTCAACCAGATTGCCGGTTGATATGCGACCGGGTGTCCTAGTGTGTACCGGCCTTAAAGCCCAGTGATCTTCAGAAACGTCAGCACTACAACCACTCGGCCACCCTGACAGTGGAGTTTTTGTTACAGGCTGAGAAGGAGGAGCAGGCGACCAAGGAGGTTGCCCCTGTGCCTGCTGTGAAGGCGGAGGCTGACTATGTGAGTCCCACCGAGACCTGGACTGAGACTGCTGAGGTACCCGCAGCGCCCGTGTCACACGGCAACTGGGCTGACGACGCGGCTCCTGCAGCAGCTGCACCAGCAGCCTTTACTGCTGCCACCGAGGACTGGACCGCAGCACCGGTAATGAACTAATCTGTTCAATTCAACCCTTGTTCAAGATCTTTCTTCTTTTTTCCTTGATTTTATATAACTACCATGAGTGTAAAGTGGAGTGTAAAAATAATATGGGCAGTTTAAAATTAGGGCAAGTAGAGTCAAACAACATACAATAATCAGCTGAAACATAGGCATTGACTCTTATTGAAGCACTGCAAAGTGCTGGTGGAACAAGGCCTTATACTGTGTGCTTAATGACATGGTCATGTTTATTGTCTCTTCACACCATCCTTAATTTCAGGAAAGCCACTTTGGCATTACCTTGTCATCACTAGCTCCCCATTCTGCACAATACATGCCAACCATGAATTTGATCAGTAAACATTATTTCATTTGTGCTTTTATCTTTTTCAGTTTAAAGTATTTTGTCCAGCTTTTAAATCTTGTCTCTTGCTAAATTAATACTAAGACATCTGTAAATCCGTTTCAGGCTGTCGACACTGGGGACTGGGCTGCCACTGGAACTGCAAACGAGTGGGGATCTTCCACCAACACTACCAGCTGGGCATAAAATGTTGGTTACAACTCTCTTTGAATAAAAAGTGAAAATTTTTACATTGCATATTTATATTTTACCTTGGTTTTCTTCGTCCCAAAAAAAATCAAGTGGTAACATGTTTTTTCCTTGGCAGGAAACTGATTTTGTAATAATATAATGGTAGCACTTAAGAGGGAAAGAATTATACAAGTTTTCATATTAAAAAAAGGTATGTGGAGTTCAGCCAGCTTACCTGAGGGGTGTGAGAGTTTTCAGTCCAGGAACACTGACAGAAACAGACACAACAACTTTCAACCAGAAAATCGTAAGGGAAAAAAATGGTAAAGACAAAAGATTTTTCCATTTTTAAGGACTAATTCATAGACAGCAAAAATAGTGGTGCTTGTGGTTATACTATTTTATCTGATTAAACATTTTTGTTTAAAAATTATAGCAAATTGGTTGCTGAAAAACTCAAAAGTGCTGCTACCCTTTGGAGATAAATCAAGATAAAACATAATTGATTTAACTATAATGGAACATGTTACTTTTTTCAAACGGAAATATTATTTATGAAGATAGTGCACGAATACTAAACCCATTCAAATCAACCAGCCCATTGAGGCAAAATTTTTAAAACAGGAAGGAGGAAGCAATGGGCATCATTGACTATACAGGGTGGCTGGTAATCTTGGTCTAAGTATTTGATCAAAGTAAAGCCGGGTTTTCCTAGACGTGGAAAAGGAGGGTGGAGAGTGGAAATGGGATTAACATGGCGTTCCGCTCTGTTTCTAGGAAAACGAGCGGAGTCCGCGCTCCGCTACCGCGCCTAGGAAATCCCAGCTTAAGTTCTCAAAGTAAATTAAGTGTGACGATGCATATAAGAGGTTCCAAGTCTAAAAATTGGCTTCCCAAAGAATTATTTTTTTTCTTATATTACTTTTTTACCCAATACATCAATTTCTTAATTACCTGCAAACATATTTGAGTAGATGACGTCATTTTCAGAGTGTTCACTTAGATTCTTTGCCGCCCTGTCGAGCGTGTGAGTGGTAGAGGGTGTCGGGAATAGAGGCATTCCAAAGCCTACGTGTGGACATTTTTATTAACCATGGAGCTGTGGACGGCTGAGCACCGTGCTATTGTGGTGGAAGTGGGTTTTAAAAGTTGCGATTCCTGTGTAGCTGTTCAACGGCAGTTTCATGGATGTTTTAATGCGGGTCCAAGAGGAAAAGTCTGAACTCAATACACAATTTTGCTGTGGGTGGGTAACTTAAGAGCTAATAATTCAGCATTGTAACAAAAATCAACAGGCCGTGCAAGGTCAGCCCGGACAAAGCATAACTCGTTTTTAGAACAAGTGATTGATTTGCTTTAAGGTGGCAAAATTTTCATTATGAGCAACGAAGCGCATTTTCAACCACGCCACACAGTCCTCACTCTCTTGACATTCTCTCAGGGCTAGAGATATACATTCTCTGGCGTCTGGGCTGACCTTTGTTGATTTTAGTTTCAATGCTGAACTTGTAGCTCTAAAGTTACCTATCCACAGCGAAATGGTGTTTTGAGTTGGGACTTTTCTTCTTTGACCCACATCGAAACGTCTACAGAACTACCACTTTAAAAAAACACGCTACAAACGCACAGAGCTCAGCCCGTCCCCAGCTCCGTGGCTACCAAAAATGTCCACACGTAGGCTTTGGAACACCCCAATTTCCAACACCCTCCACCACTCACTCGCTAGACACAGTGGCAAAGAAAACTGATCATTTTGCCGCTATACAAAGTCCCGATACTGGGTCCATATTTTTGAATAGCCCTGTATATATATATTGGCATATGGCAACTAAAATGTTTTTCACCACACTACGATGTTTTTAGCTGTTTTACAATCGTTTACTGAAGGCCGAAAGCTACGTATTGCTGTCCATGCCAGGCTGCCATGGCCAGCCTGATTTAGGGCCAAAAATCAGCTGTTTGCTTATTTTTTTAAAACATATTGCATATTAAATACACAATCCTTATCCATAGCATTGCAATAGACTTGTTTTATTGTCACCGCTGCCTAGCAACTATTTATTATTTTTGCTGATTCCTCCAATAATTTCTTCACATAGCCTTAAAGTTGTAGGTAGTTGTGTTGACAGTTAGTGTGCATTATTATTGTGGTGAATAGTGGTATAGGTATAGGGTCTAGTGTGGAGAAAAATAGCGTTTGTACCACGGACCGAAATGGTTTTGCAGCTCTCGATCGTTTTAAGTTCGAGACTTAAGTCGCTAAAAACTATCTCAAGCCAGAAAGACCTCATTTTTGGCCCTGGGTACGAAATATACTATTAACAATGCTTGGTAGGTAACACAATTAAATAACCATTACATTAAAACATTTTATTGAAAAACATATAAACATACTATGGTACATAAAATATTGTAATACTATAAACAAACTAGAACTGGACGAACATATTGAAACACTATGTGCTGTGCACAAATAAAATACTCTGTGAAATACTTTAACTTACAGCTTAGGCCATTCTCTACGTTTTAAACGCAAATACATCAACAAGTTAGTTTCCACCATTTTATAGTCCGTTTTATTTCATCTCAACTTAAAAAATAAAAACTTGCATTGATAGGAGAAACCCAAACATTTCTTGGTGTTAATAAATTAACTTAATATTCTATATTATATCCTAGACAAAATATTCTTATTAATAAAAAGAAAAATAAATTAATCTAGAGTCAAAATTGGTTATGAGTCTACAGTCGATGTTCTCTCTAGTACTGTATACTTGAGTATTAATTAGTTTATTAAAACATTTAAGATGCTGAAAATGTATGAATAGTTACTTAATTTTGTCGAGAGACTAATTTTTGAACTAAACTTAATGTTCTTATAATGAAGTATATGGAAACTATAACATACTGTAATGAAAAATTAAATTTTAACAGCAACTAATATAACCACTAACTTTTGATTTATTTAACCTTTTGAAGGAGATGTTAATCTATTCTACAAAAATATTTAAACTACTATTTTTAATGGTCTATTATTTATATCTTTTACAAAACTGCTCTGGTATTTAGCCTTAAATTAATTGTTTGTTAGCTTTACAAAAACCTGTAATCATATTTTTACCACGGCTGTCTTACAGATGGCCTGGGTGAGCCCTGACTATTCCACTGATTAAATACTTATTAATCCTAGCCTATGTAATTAATATTTTTATTTGGGTTGATAATAAGTAGGCTATATCAAAAACATTTTCGTACAAACATATTCTTAAGGTAACAAATTATAGATAAATTAAAAGGCTGTTTTATCAAGTTTGCTTTGAAAAAATAACAGTAGGTACAGTTTGAGTTCGATTAGCGTGTCACACTGATATTTTATTAATACCTATATCGTAATATCGGTTACTGTTTTGTTTGTCCCTGTTAATAGATACCGTACATATTGAGCCAGACAATAATCATATCATTTTTTTAATAAAGAGGCCAAAATTGAAATTTAGAGATCATATTGTGATTGGAACATGAGCTACATATTATGTCAAATACTAGCAGCCAGGAATCATAGTAAGTTTTGTTTTGTTTACTTTATGTTGTTACAACACAATAGGATATTGATCTTGTTGTGAACCTTTTTCCTTGTTTACATTTCTTTATCTTATCGTTCAACTTTTACCAGATTTGTTAAGTCAACAAAGTAGTTAAATATCCAAATTACTAAGTTTGAACTACAGTGGAATCTCAATAACAAGTGTCGTTCTGAAAACAAATTTATTTGATCTTTAATCACATGTTACTGCAAACCTCGATAAGTAGTCAACATTGATGACAAGTCTTGTTTAATAAACCCCATGAGAGTCTTGTTATCGAGGTTCTGTTGTAATTGGAAATTCAGAATACTGGATTTCAGATTAAGGTTCTAGTGAATTATAACTACTTTTTAAATGTTAGTTGCAATCACAACACATTAAACACTGGCTGTAACAAGACCCTTTTCAGATTCCTGCCCTATATTCATGATGGAGTTTTGGCTCAAATATCTACTGAGTACACTTTTAATACTTTACCTCCTCATTGTTGAGAAAATTCTAATCTTTAAAACTTATTTTTATGAAAATAGTGGGACTTTTAATCAAGATTTCTATTATCAATATTGCTGATAGTGATAACGGCAATAAGAAAGGAACTGTTTACATTTTACAAATTTCTAACAAAAATATCCTCAACAAATTGGCTGTTTCAATAGTTTTATCAAGGTACTTGAACTATGGCATAGTTATAAGATTTATATAAAACACTTAACTAAATTCTAAGTAATATTGATAGCTTGAAACTATTATTCTCTAATCCCTGCCCAACCAAAATTCCTACAACTTAAACCACACTTGCATATAATTAATTATAAACCAGTTCTTTAGAAATCCTACTTTAACTTCTTTCATACCAGTCTATGATAGTTTCTATTACTAGCTAATAGTATCTACGAAGACTATTTCCAATTATTGGATATCCAATTACAACTATGACAGCATTCAAGCGTTTGCTATGGTTATAGATATTTTTAAAGATTACACTTTTAGTTCTATACTTAAAATAAACTATACACCAAAGACTGTCTGTTGTACTATGAACAAATCAAATTAAATTTGGTTATATTGCACAATTAAGGTACAAATTGACAGATGCCTCTTATACTAACACACAACTGCTACCTATACTACATTTGAGCTTCAAAATGTTGTAAAAGTCTGAGTTCAAAAGAATACATAACGAATTGCACAGTTATTTTATTTTAAATTGAGTATTGTTTTAAAGGTACACAATTTCATTACTTACGTTTCAGCAAAGTAAGTTTTTAAAATAAGCATGTATTTATTTAACCTACTTGAAGAAGTTTCAACACAAATAATGTTTTCAACGATCAATGTAAACCAGTATAGATCCAATAAAAATAATTTATAACTGTTCTTTTTCTGTTGTATGTTTATAATCCATAATTTTAATTTTTTGTGCCAGTTATAAACAAGTTTAGGTTTCAAATCAGTCTATATATTTGGTGTCCATTTTGCAATAACCTTGGCAGTTATAAGTGTGAATTATAAAATCTGCAACCATGTTTTCAGTGAATTTCCCCCAGTAAAAAAGTGAAGATAAGGTACAAAAATCAGCTTTTCTACAATACTTTACACTAAATAAGAAAGACACAATAAATTCCAAATAGCACCAAGCGATTGGTTTATAACTACACTGTGCGTTTTTCGTTGATAACGGGAAGTTCAAAGCTTAATATAATGTAACAAGCGATAAAAAATGATATTACAAATAAATAACAAACAGTAAATAACGATAAATAACACTTCGTTGCATAAGGATAACCTGTACACGTATTTTACAAGTGCTAAGCTTTTATGTCAAGTATAATTTTTTTTACCTAAATGGAAAATACTAATGAGTGATCAATAACTATATAATTACTCACTAAAATTGTTGTTCAGCAAAATAAAAATTAAATTACCATGAAAGTCAAGCAACTATTGTTCAAACTGTAGCGATTAAAGTCTTGGAATGTTAAGCAAAAATAAAATATAACATTTACTCGATTATGCAAATTATATTGAGTGGAATCAAGTTTATTTGTACAAATGACGAGACTGAAGATGAAGAACGATATTATTTATAAAACACAATTATTATTGTTTCATTAGGTGCTAGATTGCATTGTTAAGAAAAATAAATTCCTAAATATACAGATAATGTCTGCCGTGACTTGGTAGTTAACAAGAACCAAGAACATTATATACAACTTAAAATCAATGAATTTTTTGTTACAAACCATTTGTAAAACAAACAACCTTCAAATTTATTCATACCAACAAACCTAACCAAATTAAATATTTAGCAACTAACCTTGAGAATTTAACATTTTGCATATTATAAATGACCTTTTTTATATAAAATGTTAGGTAATCAAGAGATTTTATAAATTAAATTATTTTCAAGTCCATGATTGATAATTGATCAATAAATCATTTTTATTTTAAGTATTTCATTTTCTAAAACTAGCAATTTAATTTTGAACTTTGGAAGCTTTTTAAGTCGATTAAACCTTGGTAAATACACGCTCTTTGAATGAAACTGATGAAAATGTTCTAGAAAATATTGATTTCAAAGAATTATTGGCAAGATAGGTTAAGACAATTTAACACACATAGTAATTTATGAATCACCCGCTAAATAATATAAACCGGTTGTAGTAAAATGTTAAGCCATATCTGGTAACCATCTGTTGTGATGTCACATAGTACTGTAATTATTGGCTATACAGCACACTAGTTAAAACTTACAAAAAATTTAAACTATTTTAAGAAAGTGATTTTGTAAATGTTCCTTTCAATACGTTATCCCCAAGTCACACTTTCCTAATCTTTTTATCAGATAAAGTAACAGCAAATCTACCTCAACATCATATTTAAACTGTCTTGTCCCTTTATGATATGATATTATCAGAGCTGACGTTAGGCATGAGTGAAAAGTGTGACTGCGCAGGACAAAAACCTACATCTTGTTTTCAAATAATTTTATTTTCATTTTATGTGTCGATGTCGAGTAAAAATTCATAATCACAAAGCTTGATCAAGATGTTGCCCTACTCACGGGAGCCGTTGCGATTTAAAAATCATCACGGTTGTTGACTCGATTGCCATAAATGATTACGGATGTTGCCACAAATTGCTGAAATTTATCATCCTATGAGCATGAGCAACAATATGGGAATGGGGGGGGGGGAGAAATATTTTAGCAGTAAGAGTCCCTGTTTTGAATGTTTGGACAGGGCCCAGCACATTGGAAGGCCAACTCTGGATATTATGTAAGACACATTGAATTCAGCCAAGCCTGGGCCATACTTACATAGTCATACAATTAGTATGAAAAACATATTTTATAACTAAAAAAATATGTCTATTTTCACAAAGTCCTAAGAGTCTTTGAACTACCAACCCAGCCAACGATAATTTGACCTTTCTTCAAATGATACTTATGACTAGATTTCATAGCAACAACCTCAATCAAGACATCTGTGATATCAAGAGAATAATTGCACAATTCCGACGTTCATCTGTATATTAATAGATTATGTATTCAATGTTGTCTCACAAGAAATCAATTTTCTTTCAAGCTGAGCATATTATACAAAATAGATAAAGATTTACACAAAGTATTAACTAGAATAAAATTTGTGGTACCGTACATAAAACTATAGTAGATTGCACATACATTTCTTCAACTCGTTTTTGAGAAAATAAATTATGAAAGTAGCAAAACAATTGACACTTTCAGATAAACTACTGGTTTACACTTATAGTGTGCAATGATAATTTTAAACTGTTCCGAGAGCAGATCACGAGTGACTGCTGCCGACAGTGTACGCAACGACGGTGGCGTGGTCTAGTTTACCAGGGACCATGGCGAGTTTTGCACAAACGTCCTTGCGTCTCGCCCTCTGCTCCCCCTTGGACAGAGGTCCTCCTCCCGCCTCCTGGTACAGCTCGATATCCTCCAATATCCTGCGTTTGGCTGCTGTCAACCGAGTGACAAAGTCCATCAGTAGAGTGACCACGTCCTTGGCCGTTGTACACGGAGGTCCGTCGCCAGACACTCCGTTCCTTAACAAGTCTTCTGTTCGCAGCAATGTCAGTTTGTGGCGTTGGTGCGCCTCCACTGTAGGCAACCCTGTGAATTTCCCAACAACCGGATCTAAATTGTCAGAAACCCCGTCGGAAGTCAAGAAGATGATGTCACCCGGTTCCACCTCGGTCATGGAGCACGTGAGGTTACCAAGCTCTGGGTTCTGACCGTCTACCGGTCCCAATGCGCCGAGTGCGTCACGCATATCTCGCATTCTGTGCAAGTCGTGTGAACCCTGAGTGATCTCTCGAACACCATACTTGGGACTGTAAACGTAAGCCAGACTGTCACCCACGTTACAAGCGCAGACAACAAATCTGTTGGCAGACATTAAAGGAAGAACTACAGCTGTAGTTAATGTTGTTAACATACCCTCCTCTTGGAGGATCAAGTTGTGTGCCGCATGAAAGGAGCGTAGAAGAGCGACAAAAACCTCCGTTGTGGATCCAATAGGCCACGAAAACAGGGCTTGGTTGAGATATTGCACACTGCCATGGACACCGGCTCTAGCAGCCAGGCTAGCTTTGACACCCCAGTTAACCCCATCGGCCAGACACAGGATAGCCGAGTCCTTGCGTGACACAATGGCGAAGCAGTCTGCGATGGGCTCCCCTGCAGGCACTGTAGTGACGGGGTGTCGCTCGTACAGAGATGTTGAGCAACCGTAGGCAAATGTCGTCCCTCCCTCCCAGTCACTCACCCCAGCTATGTCTCCAACACTTGTGCTACTTTCTGTATAAAAAGAGACAATTATTGCACAAATTTGTAATATTTGTAGGTATCAGATGACATTAGTTTTGTTAACTTCACAAAAACCTATTTCAACCTGGTTTTGAATTATCGATCAAAAGCACTTTACGCACAGAAAGTGAGAATAAATAAATTTAAACAAACAAACAACATTGTATATCTATAAATGAGGAAGTATGTATTTATGTATGTATGTATATACCCTATGGACTCCAAAACCGCTCGAAAGATTATAATGAAACATTCAGGCATTATTAAGCATTATTCAAGGATTGTTCTCGTGAAAAATATTTGAGACCAGTGATCATGTGTCGTCTAAATAAATATGTAATAATCATTATTGGCTTATATGCATTTAATATGCATGTGCGCTCAATATGCATTTAAACGTTTTAACGAGTTTTTGGGGACGTCGGTTTAACCAGAAAAACCATTATCCGGACAACCTAGGCCAACCAAGTTCTCGGTCCCGAGGAGTCTGGATAAGAGGGAGTCTACTGTGTATAATTTAAAAGCAGATTTTTACTTTCACCATCTGTTTTGTAGGTTTGAATAGTCACAACATTCTGTATTAGTCATTATTTGAAATAGTGCCACACTGTTTCCACAGAACGCAGCACAGAAAAATATTTTACTTTTAACACGTTCACTGCGCTACGAGATCCTGAGGTCTCGTATCGTACCTAGCCCGTAGTGCGGGACCCATAATTTGGCTTCTTTCCAAAAATTACGACATCGATATTTCGGCGTACAGTTATCGTAAAGAAATGAAACTTGTACATATATAATGCATTTTTCTTGATGTATCAACTAGTAAATATGAAATGAACGAGATAAATATATCTCGTAACGCACTGAAGTAATAAACTTTTGCTTTATTACGATACGAGACCCAGGGGGCTACATGAGGCTAATGGGGTGATTAGTAACCATGGTAACCTTTGTTGAATGCTTGGATGAAAGAAGGAAACCAAAGAAATAATTCAAGAACAAAGAGAAAGAATAATGGCATTTTTTTACTGTTATTAGCACTAACGGATGCGTAATAAAGGTAAATGACCTAAAATATCACGATTGTGCAATGTTGTATTTTGATGTAAACAAGCAAATCATTTACATTAATTCGAATATTTCTCCTGGTACCTACTAATTCATACAAAAATCAATGCTAAATAATCGTCAAACCGGACAAGAAATTTCCGATAAACAACTTTGTATCATTAGTTTTTGTTTTGCGATTGGGATCCCTTTCCCAGCCCTTTAGGGAAGTGGTGCAAGTCTAAATGTAGCTTCAAGGTTGCACCCATCCCTTCCCCCCGCCCACTCGACTCACTGTTGGCACGCACTCATTTCGAGGTCATAGCCCAACCCCAAAATTATAACGAAATAAATACAGTAATTTGTAAACATATTTCATTTGTACTTTATTTAGCCTGAAATCAGCCGTAAGGAAACGCATTAATATAAAAAAAGTGATAAAAGAAAGATAAAATATATTTTTTATAACGGTTAAGATTATAAGGAATTCGTAAATAAACAGGTAACATATATTTTTCTTAATTTGTTATTGTAGGAAAAGAATAAATACAAATAAATAATGAACTATTACAGCTGTGCGGTACGAGATCTCGGGGTCTCGTACAATGACGTCATATTTACTTCCTGGGCTGGCTGAAGATTGTCAACATTGTACTGGTTCAGATAAACAAACACTCAGCGCTCTCTTGCCTTTCTTTACGAGGTTATGATGCGCAAAAGATTACTGCGCAACGTAATCTCGGGGTCTCGTATCGCACCTGGGTAATCATAGCGGACGAGACCTATAGATCTCGTAACGCACCATTGGAATAATGGTGGAAAATATGCAACGCAGTGAACGTGTTAAATAAGTCCAAATATATTAAACTCAAATCACAGCACACCTGTGCACTCAACAACGTTGAAATTCTCCACTATTAAATATGTAAACATAAAAAGTAAAAACCTTTATCAAAGTATTATAAACAATAAAAAAGGGATGGCAATGTCTTATTTTTATCTTTTGTTTTATACCCACACAATCTTACATAAATTAATAAGTGAATAATAATCAGTGTGTGCTATCTCAGGTATTCCAATGCCTCCCAATTTGTCATTAACCCACCACATTACTGTCATTAAAAGAAGGAACTCCAATTAATAATACTAATGCAAAACTTAAATCCACCCAAGCTGTGCAACAAAACCAGACTGTCGATTAAAAAAATTACACCAAACTTGGTCAAAGAAACAATCATCAGTGGTAAGTTCAAACGAGAAATAGTCTTAATCCAAAGAATACTGATGATTTCATCCGAATTACCCTTTGAATTCAAGACTACAATTTCCTTTGCGTCTTGCGTTCCCTATAACCATTATAAGGCACAAGGGCAATCCCTGACTATCGCTGGTTTAAATTTAGAAAATGCATGCTTTTCACACGGACAGCTGTATGTTGCGTGCTCACGTGGTGGTAGGTACGCCTAACCTGCCTACCTGGCTTGTTGAGAATTCTCTCACAGGCATTAGGAACACTCTCAGACTTCTGGAGTGGGGAGAACATGGCAGCCCCAGCATATTCTGGAGGGGGAGGAATGACGTTGGCATTTACCACTGGCACATTGGAGTTGGCGTCTCGAGATCCGACTGGAAAATATTACCCATTATGTAACTAGCCTACTAAGACTTTTGTAGTGAGAAAAATAAATGGTATCAGCAAACTGACACGTACCTCCCAATAGCTTGATAACAACTCTTTTAATGGGTAAGTGGTCTTAGTAAACTGTGATATTTTATGGGACAGTTAAAAAATTGCAATAGCTTTTGAATCGTAATTTTTTTATGTAATTGGGGGTTGTACCATTTAGTTTAGAGTTATAAGGACCATAATAGGCAGACACTATGATGAATAGGTACTAGAAATATACCAGTATGGATCATAAACATAAACAAACTGACGTTTTTGGCCCGAAAGTAAACAAAACCCCTGTGTACTAATAGCATTAATTACTATATGGTATTGTTTACTTTCGGGGGGGGGGGGGGGGGAAATATTGGCCTACTTGAATTTTACCAAGTTTTTTTTTTTTTCTACAGTAATATTTCAATAGCCAGTAGGCCTAACTTATATTGGTGAGTGAAAAATAGTATTTCAAATAAACCAATCGAAAGATACATTTGAGTGATATTATTTCATTTGCGACCGTGTTGAAAACTATGTTTTTAGAAGATGATGAAGTATATAAATGGTACTTTCACAGCGCCGTCCTTAGGGTGGAGCAACCGCTCCGCGAAGCCTGCCCGGCGAGGCCTGCCCGGCGAGGCCTGTCCGGCGATGCCTTACTATCGCTAGAAATAAGTTAATGTTTTGGAATGAAAATAAAAAAATAAAGGACAGACAGATACATGTGCCCAATATGTCTTATTTATTATGAATTAACCTATATCAATTGTTGTATCGATTAAAAACCTACGAACGACATTTAAAACACAAAAGAATATCAAACAACGTTTGACAGCTCGGCGGCGATGACGGAACCCGAGCCTCGCGGCAGCCACCCCGGTGAATGTGAGTGAGTCATACGCTTACTCTTACTGGTACTGGTGCCATTAAACTTCTATTGTATGATTAATTAAGTTCAATTTATTTACAGATGTAAATGTTTACTGGATTGAATGGATAATCAGAGTGGATAAGACTGACTGTAAACTACTCGCATTTCGCAATAAACATAAACCTATGACAATATTTGTCATTAAAGTAAAAAGTAATACTGTAAATCAATTACACTGTAATGATACTACCTCTTTTAATTTATTATTAAACACTCATTGACAATTATAGGTAATATTTTTTTACCTTTAAAACCCCCATTAAAGACCAACTGCCGAAAACACAATGAACCTATCTTGATAAAAAGTACATAAACAAGTTAGCCTATGAGTATTTACTATTTACAAAGTGACGGGACGACAATCCACAGTGAAGAGAAGTGTTCATTTTTTCATTAATTATTGTAAAGAACTTCGTGGACAATATTTATGATATCCACTTTGGAATTGGAACAATAATATGTGCAATTAGCTATAATATTAACGGCCATTTACAGAGTGTAAAAGATTCATTTGTTTCATCAAAATGCTTAAAATGACGAATTTGCAAGTATCTCATTGACAATTATTTATGTAATATTTTTTACCTTTAAAACACCCTTCACAGACCAACTGCCGAAAACACAATAAACCTAACTTGACAAAAAATAAATAAACAAGATAGCCTATAAAACTTAAGCATTTACTATTAATTGTCGTCCCGCCACTTTGTTTAATTTACAAAGTGTTAATTGAATTCACAATCCACAGTAAAGGAGAAGTGTTAATTTTTTTTATTAATGATTGTAAAGAATTTCCTGTGCAATATTTATGATATCCACTTTGGAATTGGAACAATAATATGTGTAATTAGCAATAATATTCACGCCCATTTTCAGAGTGTAAAATATTCATTTTTTTCGTCAAAGTGCTTAAAATGACGACTTTACAAGTATAATTTTACTCCGTACCCCCCAGACCCCCCGGTGAGCTTGATTAAACAAGGCCTCGCAATTATGTATTGCCCCAAGCCTCGCATTTTATAAAGACGGCTCTGTACTTTCATGTTAAAATTAGAATCTAGAAAATTACAATACTAGCCTTCTTGACAATTTGGAAAGATAAGGCAAAGATTCATATTTAATGTCATCTGGTAGACTTAATTTCCTATGTAGGCCTACCTGACTGCGAATCATCGTCTGCGATGTCAATGAAGTGCACATCTGGATCAGAAATGGACAAATGCCTCTGTCGCTGGTTGACAGTTGTAAGCCCTCCATTGGGCCCTGTCATCGCCGTGACAACCGGCTTAGAGATGACTCCCAGTGACCGAGGAGGAAGGTCATATGCTGTTCGTCCATGAACAATCTTTGGTTCATCTCGATTCACTTCCCGTCTGGAAGTTTTTCCCATTAAATAGTAATTTGGTCTACCCTAGTTTGTTAGCCATTTAGACAACCTGAATCTAAGCCTATAGGCCAATAATAATAAAATAATAATTATATCACTTTTTTATTGTCTTAAAACATTTCACATTTCTAGCAAAGCTGGTGAAACACATGACATTATCAGTTCTTAGCTAACAAAAATAAAAATTAAAACTAAAAATTAAAATTAAAACTTAAAATTAAAATTAAAACAGTCAGTTTTTTTAAAACATTCATTTAAACTCTTTTAATGTATGGGTAGTAACTTATTTCTTGTTTATAAGGAATGTTTTGAATTCTTTCTTAAAAGCTTTACAATATTATTGATACCATCAAAATGAGCGGGTAGACCGTTGTAAAGAAATAAGCCCATATAGTACGGCGATCTTTCGTAAAGGCATCGATATCTTGGATACTGCAAATTATTTTTTGAACGAGTTGGGTATTGATGAATAAATTGATTGTTTATATAAGATAAATAATTGCAGATTACTCTTGAAGTATACCAGGATTTTATAAATGTAGGCCTAAAGTGAAGGCATTGTTAAAATTTCATATAGGCTAATATGTTTCATAAAGCGGCTTATGATTTTTTTTTTTTGTAAATGATAAAATTCTTAAAAACTTTTTTTGTAGGCTACCGGTACCTATCTTAATAATAGTTGAGGCATATGATGTTGAGCCCTATAACTTAACTCAAGTTTTACCATATTGCATAGTGGAAAAAATATGGCATGATAAACTAGTTATCATTCCATATTCTAAAACGAGCTTCATTTTAGAATCAATTATGTTTCTTAAAACTGCATCTGAAAACAAGCTGTATGTAGGGGAGAGTGGGGCACATTTGAACATAAGGCACATTTGAACGGTTTAAATTTGCCGTCATTTTTATACTCGCAGGCCATTGGATCAGATGTAAAATGTAGCCCTATTGGAGGGCTACATCTTACATCTGATCCAATCCTATTGGACAACAGGTTGCATTCATCTCCCTTCATTTCTGATCAGTTCTTAGTTTGTTGTTGGGAAAAGAAGTTTTAGAGCGCCACAAGAAAATTTTTTTAGCAGTAGGGTTTTGTACATTTTCCATAGAAAAACTACATTAGAGATAAGTTTGATCCATCTACCTTATGGCTTGTATATATTTAGATACAATTATGCACTTCACATTGATAAATTACAATCCAAGAAAACATAATTTAACTTTTTGCAAAATGGCGTCTTGTGGGGTAGATTTGAACAAGAGTCTGCGGGGTACATTTGAACACCATGTTTTCCCCTGGAAATTTTGAAAAATAATAGTTGTAAACTAGCGTTTTTATGCAATCTAGACATAATAATTGGTAATACATAAATTGGTTTTTAATTGAGTTTTTATTATATTTAACCTATTTGTAAGTTCATTGAACGGAACATATCTTTACTTATAAATCTCCTCAAAAGTGGATAGCTTCACCAAGTGCACGTAAACAGCGGTCCCGAACTGAGCGAAGGATGTGAATTTACAAATGGCGGGTCACATCACTTTTGTTCGTCTCAAACTAAAGTTTAAGTTAAATAAACGGATATTTCGCTTGTAACTCACTATTAAATGTGCATTTCCGTTTGGTCATTATCTAATGCACAATTGAACATTACAATAATCAAATCTCAAACAAACTTTCTTCGCACCGAATGGTACCCAAAAGCAATAGTATGTTTTCTGTGCTAAAAGAGAGATTAAGGTACTGTAAACAACTTGACATTTTAGTTTACTGACAACAGTGACAACCTGCGTCTTTTGAGGCCGTAGTAGCCTACAGCACTTAAACACTCGCGCGGAAATAAATTGTACTAGTGCCGATCTTTGACGAGTATAGTATAGAGTATAGATAAGTTGAGTTCACGTGATCGAGGATCGATGAACGATGCTAATTGTACAGTTAACCAAATAGGTGAATAGGTTGGTTTCCTTTAGTTTTCCTTAAAATTACTAACAAGTATTCTTACACGAACTAAACATTAGTGTGGAAAGGCGAAATTTCATATTCCATATATAATATTTCAAACGCTTGACCTCCAAAGCGGGACATTTAGGCGTCCCCCGGCCAATTGTGGGGACAGCGGGACAACTTGTTGTAAAGCGGGACTGTCCCACCGAAAGCGGGACGTATGGCTTATAAAGTATGGTTATTTATAAAACAAAAATAATTTTCTTCCCCTGCAAAGCGTGGCAAAATTGTTGAACTGAAAAAATCCATTTCCGTAGCCTCCTACCTTATTTCCTACGGCAATAGTAAGTAAAACCGTACTTAGCTAAGTAACTTTGGAAGGAAACCTTCAAAGCTAACTTTGGAAGGACTATTGAGATAACTTGGGCTGGGGTATCTCCATGAATGAACCTTGAGTAGGCTCTGTAGGCCTATCTTAAACCTGTAGGCTATTATATCAGACTCACCCACTAAGGTATCGTTGAATGAAACAATCTGACGTTGATCTAGGCTGATGATCTTCCAAAGGCCGATTTTCTGAGGGATTAGATAGTTGTCGAATAAATCCAGCTACTTTCTGACGAAAGGATGGCATTTTAAATAGGTCCAAAACAATGAAATTTTAGGACAGCATTCTAGAGAGAGTACCTATAGGTAGTCTAATATGGTGTAGATTTATATATTAATTGATTCAACATCACCTAATGGAAAATCACTGAGGGATGTAGTTTCATTTATAAATTTAACAAATTATATAAGTAATAATAGGATTCATGAAGGACGAATAACCATTGCAACTGCACTTCAACTTGAAAACCTGAAACCTGATACTTGTCACTTGACACTTACTACTTACTACAGTACTTGACACTTGACAACTCAATTACATCCTATGTTCCTATTCCTATCCTATCCATTCCATTCCAGATTCCAATATTTCCCTAGTTTGCTTTAGTAAAGCTGGCTTGATTTAACTAACCATGTAACCACACTATTTCATCAGTCCAATTTTCTCGGGCTTTTTCAAAATGTATAAGGATGCTATTTAGGAAATTTTCAATTATTGAATGTCTTGTTCAATTATTTAAAGTTCAAGTTACATAAAATCTCAAAGTTGGATTCCTGATTATTTTAAAAATTTCAGTAATGGTAGTCATAGCTTGCAATTATTTTCCATTAGGAGCGTTTGGACAGTTAGTGGTGAGTTCCGTTTAGCTTTCTTGATTTTTGCATAAAAGACATTGACTCATCCTATTGTAGGCTGCTGGGCACTCTGTAATGATGTGCTCTATTGTTTCAAGTTCGCCTAGTTCACACTTGGTGCAATACTGGAGATTCCCTCTTCTTAATTTGAAATAACCTTGTTTGTAGCATATAGGATGACCTAAGCTTAGTTTGCACATTAGAGAAGTGTCAGCATGGCTTAGTTGGTAGTTACAAAACCACGGTTTTGCAGTGCTTTTGGTAGTATAGTTTTTACCATTGTTATTTTTATTATTATCAAATTCTCTTGATGCTTGTATTTTGTATTTATGTTTAATATTAACCTTTTGATGATAGGGGTGTAGGAAATCATTGTCTATCTCTTGATTAGAATCAGCTGCAGTCTTTGCTAGTTTGTCCGTCTTCTTATTGCCATGTATTCCTACGTGACTTGGTAATCTTGGTATCCACTGCACCACAATGGTCTTCGGGTTGAGTGATAAGCTGATCTACAATCTCCAATTCTTACTGCTCGTTGCACTGCCCATCTATAGTGGTTTCTTGATTTTTTTGTATGGCTAAACGTGTGAGTCAGTGACGATAACCCATTTGTCTTTCTTGCTGTCTTAATTTCTTCGTTTTTAGCCACATATTTAGCCCCAGCCATAAGCACAACATATAGTCGTCTGGTCCCAAATCTTCATTAATCTTTCATTCGTACTTCACATTAGCAGCAACATCGCTAAAAAGAGCACTTGGTTTGACAGTTCCCTCAGGGGATGGGATGAGAAGCCTCTTTCCACTACGACTTGTGTTGGTTAGTCCATGGTTGGCCTATAAACTCACTAAAAATAAAATATTCGCCCAGACGTTGGCCACATTTTCAAGGGAACCTCCACCATCCACCACTCCACTACTACCATAAACAAAAAGAATTAAATATAGACTGTCAGCCGTGCATGCATGACCGGTATGCGCCAGAACCTATGGTAACCACAGCACAGCTGACGATATTTAATTCTTTTTGTCTACCGGTATGCTACTACCCACTTTTCTCAAGGGCTTGGAATATCTAAGAACTAAATGAAATCATGGTGGAAGGAAAAATCCATAGGTGTGCTACTCCCGTCATATGCTCTAACGTCACCCACATTGCAAAAATCGTTTCACCATTTAAAAAAATATAAAAAACCATAACAATCAAATGAAAACAAATATATAGGTACTTATATGGCAATACAATCAGTTGATTTTTTAGCGAATTACCCTATAGGGTAGTAGCTATTACCGTAGGTGGCACGGTAAGACCTAGGCCCAGGACCGATTTACTTTTTCATTTTGATGTCCCCAGAGGCCAAAAACACCATTCGTTTCGGACTGGTGCTCAGGAGGTCTCCAGTTCGAAACCAGCCGGGGACACTATCTTTTTGCTAAAGATTTTGCTTTTACTTCTTAACTGTACATCTTTTGTTAGATATTGATGTATTTATAATTTTTTTTATGAACAGGACTTTTTTTATAGTAAACCTTTATTTGATTTTTATATTTTTTTAACTATCAGCAAGTTTGGTTGGTTAGGTTAGGTTATGACAGTTTTGTTTTATGATAAAAAAATTTAAAAATTAATTTTATAATTAAAAATTTATTTTATAATTGAAAACTTAATTTTATAAGTAAAAATTATAAAATTAATTTAAATTTTTTCAACTTAAGCAGTTCTAGCAGCGAACGCTGACACTACAAGATTAAGTTAGCCATCGTCCCTCCCGTGTGCCCCACCAGCGTACAATCGGGTTCTACTACTGTACTACTACTGCTCTTCTTGTTCTTCGTTCTTCTACTTCAACCCTCACTCTCACTCTCACTCTCACTCTGTGTTGTGTTGGTTAAACTGAGTAGAGTTGAGTTGTTGTTAACCTAACTTATATTAGTAACAGTATCTTTTGTGAAAAGCTAAAGCACATGGTTTTATATCTGTAATATTTGTCGTTAAAAAGTAGTTTTTCTTGTTTTAAACCTTAAAGATTAGCTTAGAAGTTTGATAAAATTGTTTATTGTTCTCTTAATTCATCGAAATGGCTGCAATTACAATGTTAAATCCTAAAGCGGAGTTTGCCCGTGCAGCTCAGGCCCTAGCTGTCAATATTTCTGCTGCTAAGGGGATCCAAGATGTCATGAAATCTAATTTGGGGCCCAAAGGTACGATGAAAATGCTTGTCTCAGGGAGTGGTGACATTAAGATAACTAAAGATGGTAATATTTTATTACATGAAATGCAAATTCAACACCCAACGGCATCGCTAATAGCAAGAGCTTCCACTGCAATGGATGATATGACTGGAGATGGAACTACTTCAACAGTTTTGATAATTGGTGAGTTACTTAAACAAGCTGATCTTTATATTGCTGAAGGACTCCACCCACGTATCATTGTTGATGGATTTGAGAAAGCACGCACTAAGGCTTTGGAAGTCCTTGATAAAATGAAAATTCCCATTGAAGTGAAAAGAGAAAACCTCCTTGATTTAACTCGAACATGTTTGCGCACAAAGCTTCAACCACAGATAGCTGATGTATTAACTGATATCTGTGTCGATGCAGTCCTCGCTATTCAGAAGAAAGATACTGAGCTTGACCTTCACATGGTAGAAATAATGGAAATGCAGCACAAGACAGCAAGTGAGACCAGCCTAATTCGAGGACTCGTGATGGACCATGGTTCAAGACATCCTGATATGCCAAAGCAGGTGAAGAATGCCTATATATTGGTCTGTAATGTTAGCATGGAGTACGAGAAGAGTGAAGTGAATTCAGGATTCTTCTACAAGACAGCTGAAGAACGTGAAAAAATGCTGTTAGCTGAAAGAGACTTCATTCTTCAAAGAGTTGAAAAAGTAATAGCCATCAAGAAGAAACTATGTGACAACACTGACAAGTCGTTTGTTGTGATCAATCAACAAGGCATTGATCCTCTCTCCTTAGATATGATGGCTAAGGAAGGCATCCTAGCATTACGTCGAGCCAAAAGGAGAAACATGGAACGTCTTACTCTTGCCTGTGGTGGCATGGCTTTGAACTGTCTCGATGACATACAAGAGGAACACCTTGGTTATGCAGGTTTGGTTTATGAACATATCCTGGGAGAAAACAAATACACATTTGTAGAAGAATGCAAGAACCCACAGAGTGTCACAATTTTGATCAAAGGACCCAACAAATACACGTTGAATCAAATCAAAGATGCTGTCAGAGATGGACTTAGAGCCATAAAGAATGCTATTGATGATAAGAGTCTTGTCCCAGGTGCCGGTGCTTTTGAGGTTGCAGTATCTCAAGAATTGATTGCATTCAAAGATTCTGTCAAAGGCAAAACAAGACTTGGGGTTCAAGCGTTTGCTGAAGCTCTTCTTGTCATTCCTAAAGTACTTGCAATCAACAGCGGTTTTGATGTCCAAGACACAATCGTCAAACTTCAAGAAGAGTACAAGAGCTCAGGAGGTCCTGTTGGTCTTGACATCAACTCCGGAGAGCCACTGAATCCTACTGATGCAGGAATCTATGACAACTTGGGAGTAAAACGGCAGTACATCAACTCATGCACGGTGATAGCAAGCAACTTGCTTCTTGTTGACGAAATCATGCGAGCTGGACTCTCTTCTCTCAAAGGCTAATTGATTTTGGTATGCTTTATGTAGATTCTGATAAGTTAATTGTAACTTAATTGTCATTTCTCACATCTTACCGGTACTACTAATTTCATGGTAAAACTGCATTAAATTATTTCTTTTTCTTATTACCTAATACATTTTGTTGCTTGTTTCAAACTTCGGATTTTTAGATTAATTAATCACACAACATTCTTTTTATAACAACTTGTTCTTGCACCTCTAATTTTATAATGTAATTATTTAATTTTATAATATATTTTTTCCCAAGAGAATTTCCAATTTTGTTCTAATAAAAGTATTATTTCTTACTAAAATGGTTTTCTTATTAATTCCTAATTGGCCTATTTCAAATAGCCTAGTACGTTAACAACTTCTTTAAAACCTACTTGCATTTACCTACAACAATCTACAGCCTACGTACCGGTAGGCTATTTAAATAGAGCCTATAAACATTTGTAGAAGATTGTATGTTTTAGTGTATGAAAATAAACCCTTTTGGTAAAAGGCTACCATTAGTAAGTTATCTCTGGAGATAAAACAAATTAGCCTATCGAAATAGTAGGGTACCGGTATATTACCTACTAAAAGGGCTTGAGATCTTCTACCCGGCTGTGAAATAAGGGTACGGAGATTAAGTTGCCTATTTAAATTAGGTAGTTATTCTGATTTAGGACTTAAAAATATAATTCTCAAATTCCGAAGGCTTAATATAACCATAAATAGGTCTATTTAGTCCAAAATTACTATTTTAGAGTGCCATTTGGAAATAAATTGTACTGTAATTATTGCTCTTCTGGATAAATCCATTTAAGATGTTTTACAATGCATCGATCCCAATAAATAGATTATCGTGATTTATTAATTTCTAAGTGTTTATAATGATACACTAGTGTTCTGAACATTTACATAACTTTTTGGGTAAACTTTCTGTTAGAAAATGTTTACGATGAACCCTTTTGGTAAAAGGCTACATTAGTAAATTATCTCTGGGGATCAAACGAAATAAGTTCTCATTTAATTTACACAATCATCGCCACATGTTAGCTGACTTGCTGATAATCTAATGGCTTTATAAATAATCACCATAGCATAATGTATTAAGTTACAAACAAAATAGTTATGCCTAGGCTAATTGTACAGTAACTTTTATCACATTTTGGTGTCCTGAACAAAACTTTAAAGATTGATATCAAAACAACATATAGTTATTATATAGCCTGCGACAAGTTATTTACCGTACTTGCTTTATAACAGCAGGCCTAATTTCTAGCTCTACTCCCAAGGCTATCTTGGTTAAAGCCCTTATGAATGTTAGCTTCTAAACATGATGTTACTGTGTTTTGCTTAACACAATTTGATTGTCACGTAAATAGGCCTATGACTCTGTTTTCAAACTTAAAGTGTAAAAGTTTAGTAGTGTAGTACTTTACCTATATTCGGTTTACTTAATATAGGCTTTAATTAGTTGCAATATTTGTTGAATTTGTCATTATAGGCCTAATAGAAAATCTATGTTTTTGAAGTGATGTGTGATTCTAAATCAAACATGTTAAAGGCGTCATCTTGTAATCCAGCTACTAGGAGGTCACGAATTGTGGATATTTATAGGCATGCACTGTGGATGGGATACTCCCTGGTGTGGATTAACGTCCGTACGAGTGAGTACTATGACTATACGCAGTACTATCCTGATAATTAGACCAATTCGTATATACCGAGGAAAAATGTGGTTCGGATTCCACTATAAACTGTAGGTCCCTTAGTTACCATTAGCTGTATGGGCTATTAATTAACAGTTGTGTCTAAGGAATGTCGGCCTTAGTCACTAACAAGACTACAAGATCGCGCCACTCATCTCCATTCATACTTGGCTTAAAATACCTACTATGTATGGTCGCCATTTCATTGAACAGTAACAGTAAGTAGGCCCTAATTAAGCACCTTAACAGACTTAGGCTACCTAACCAAAACTAAAAGTGAGATTATGTAAGACTGTATTAAAGAATTTGATTTATTTTCCGTTTGGTGCTGAAATAACAGGTAGGTTGTATTCCAGCATTAGACGAAGGACTTGAAAAGCCGTTCTATATCTAAAAATACATTTATCTCTTATATTAATACGTGAGGGCTGTTTTTTGTGAACAAAACTCCTCCGTTATTTCTGGACCGATTTTAACGTTTGAGGTGTCAAATGATTCGTCTCAACTCGTAGTTTTGCATAAAAAGGTTTTAGAATTTAAAATCTTACGGTACCCTTAACTCTCTCTTGTCTCTTACGAAACGCTCTCAAAGGGCGCATTTTCCCCATAAGAATTACATTGAAAAAAAATTTAAAAACAAAAACAGCTGTATATAAAAATAAACTTACCAGCTTTTTGGGAGTAAATATTTATGTTTGTAATATTTAGGAGGTTTTAAACAAATCGAAACCGTTAATCAGTTTTGTTGGAAGAACAGAAAATTTCTTGAATTTAAAGGAGAAACATTGAAAACAGGAGGAGGAGACAGTAAAAATGTATATATATAATTAAGAGGAAATCTTATACTTATGAGAAGAGTAGAAGAGAGGCTCGGTCTCACAGTAGGGAATCCAGGTACACACTCACTTGGGGAGATGAATCATTTTTGCCAGTTATGCTAAGCAACTTATTTTGGAAGTAAAAAAAACCATGAAGAATATACACATCATGTTGTCACAGTGGTAAAGTAAACCTACCTAAGTTAAAGCCAGATCAAATAAATACATGCGAGAAATGTTTACTGGTAACAGCTTTAAGTCAGGAAACATTTGTTGAAAACACTAAAAAAAAGGCCGGGTCCAAATAATACTAAAATATTTTTACAAGAAGTGTTTATTTATTATTTCAAAGTGCTATTAAATAGCGTGAGTATTTCAACTAGTTACATAAGCATTTAGTCGGGTCTTTTAAACTCATCGAAAATTATGACTGCTATTTACTGAAGTTTTAAAATAACTTCTGTATAATACCGGTACTTGACAATTACTCGATTTCGAGCAACAGGTACACTAGTTATCAATTAAAAGCTGAGTGAGTGCTGCCCTCTCCATATTTTGTCAGTTACATTACATAACAAAGCAACATAATCTTATCTGGAAGGGGCGGATCTCAAGGCGCTTCATCTGGATTGTCGAATTACTGCACCCCGCAGTCAGTTATTCTGAGACCTTCAACGTCCCAGGCACTAGATGAATGCCTAGATTCTACCGATCAGTTCCTCTACAAGAAGGCAACTCTCTCTTATCAGATTGCCAGGAGTCCTTACAATATATATTGCCAAAGTTAAGTTATTACCTCTAAGACCCTCACAGTTGAAAGCAGGTGATCAGCAGTGCTCTCTGACGAAAACTTGGGAACAATTGTCCTAAATATAAATAATCTAAGAATGAAGGAAATGAATTTTGTTAGACTGCTTGTGTTTGGTACGGCTTGTATTAGCCCTGCAAGCTTTAAGCTAACCTTGGCAGCTGACTTCAGGATGGAACCACTAAAACTACAGTAGTCAGAATCAAACCTGCATCCTTCTGATTACTAGAATCAGTGGTGTAGCCAGGTTCGGAGCACTCTGGAGCAGAAATGGCTCAAGCCGCGCCCCTCTGAATATCAAATATCACCCTGCTTGATGCTTGGTGATAATTTCGCCTCTATCAAAGGGTACAATAATGATTGTGTCTCTGCCATTACGCAGAGTTAATCATTCTACCGCGATCATGGGAGATGTTAACAATTTTGCCACAATCTCGTGAGACGATGGAATGTTCAAGATTCTGCTGCGATCGTGGGCAATGATAGTAATGTCTTCACCATCGTAAGAGGTGTTCAACATTTTGCCTCTATAGTGGAATACTATGACAATGTTTTGACTTCGCGGGAGATGATGAATATTTTTCTGCGATTGCGGGAGTTGTGATTATAATACTGCTACGATCACAAATAATAGTCATATCCTACATACTAATAGGCAAGCATGTTTCTTGAAAACCTTTTTCCTCAGCTCGTCTGCATCGCAGGGAAAATCGACGCATACTGTTAAAAATAAATTTTCCTGTAGATATGCAGAATCCCTTTATAAATAAAAATAGGCTAAACAATAAGCCTATCTAAAATCTAAAAATGTCTATAAGAATCCAAAAAAGATTAACATGGACCTTATGGGTTGCCATGGTGGTGACAAAATAACAACCAAATATAAACAGAAAAAAGACTAATGGAAAAAAAAACTAAAAAGAAATTCCAATCAGATGTTTTTTTTATTTACAGCGTGGGGTGAAAATAGAGACGTCAGCTGTACATTACATATTTTTGTCGACTTTTCAACTGGACCACATCTAGTTTATGATAAATACACACACCAAATGTATGATTACTAAATCTACACATTCTATGCTAATACTGATTTTCTACTGTTAGTTCTAAATAAATCCTGTCGATGTATAAGCAGCCTGTCCCAATGTGGCCTCAGTTAACGTCCAAACTTTTAGGTTGGGATTCAGTTATAATAAATATTATCTATATATTTAATACGCGACATAAAACTTTGTGAACAATAAGGCTTTTTTGTTTTAAGATTTAACCCCACATATTATATACCAAAATGTTCGTCTAGGTGAGTAGATGTGCAAACTGGCATTAGATTTTCGTAATATATCCTTTTAAGGGTGTGGGCTGCCCTCAAAGTTCCTTCCATAAGGATAACATTGTGATTGATTTGAATGTTATTATATTCTGAAACAGATGTCAATACATTAGTTTACAGAAAAATTAAATCCCAGCTGTTTTGTTTGGTTTTGAAATGTAAACAGTTTGCGTGTTTTTAAAAGTAATTAGAAACCCGGCAAAGAAATGTTACCTATGGGACACGACGGGAGAAAAGTTTTACATTATTATTTCGTTTAAACATGCCAAGGACCCGACGACAAAGAAATATTGCCGGTCGGACACGGCGAGTCAACATACGGCAAGCAATACAAAACGTAAGGACGAGGAGCTGGAACTTATACTTTGGCGAGATGGCATTAAAATGTCAGAAATGTGGTGCGCTACATTTTAAAGAACAAAGAGGACGAGGCGAAGGATTTTCATCCTGCTGCCATAAAGTAACTTAATGGAGCAAGCATTTGAAGAGAAACTACAAAGAGAACATTATACGCCTTGGTACAACTCTGCGCTCGCAATGGTCAGCACTCGAGCTAAAATTGAAGAACATAACGATGGAGGGCCTTTCATGTATAAGGTGCACGACACAATTTATCACTTAATTGGCACCTTTCAACCGTCAGAAGGGGAGCATCCCACATATGCCCAAGCTTATATCTACGGACGTCGAAACCGCTGTTCAAGAAAGAATGCTAAACAAAGCTAATGGCTCTTGCAGCACTGAACTCATGCACATTTTGACTCAACATTTGGTTGATATTAATCCATACGCGCAAGTTTTCACCATGATGAGCTCCGTCCTGCAAAATACTCCTACTGAACAGCAAAAAGACCTTAGCATGCATATAGCCAACGATCGAGCTCAAGACAAACGTCAATACAACGACGCAACTTCAAACGACGTTGCTATAATATCCTAACTTATTATTCGTGCGAATTCGCACGGGTTCTCCTAGTACATAGTTATTAAACAATTTCTACTTTAATGACATTTAGTTTGCAAAATAACAACATAATTAAAGAAAGGTCAAACTTAGTTTTAAGGAAATATGTCCAATATTTGAAACAAAGACAATATTATTTCCTCCGAGAGGCGAGAAGTATCTCCAGAGCCTCTGCCCTCTGCTCAATTTGCTGCAGCATTGCTACGCCACTGTCTAGAAGGAACTATTCAGCTTCCCAGCTAAATTTTTTGGATCAATTTAGAACTGAGTCTAAAACCTTATCTATTAAAAACCAATAAAAATTATCCGGAACAAAGTATTAAAAAAATAATACAAATAAGACAAAAATGTTAGAACCCCTGCAGTGTGGTGTGGTATATGGTACAATTTTAAACTACTACCGTATGCCCATAAGAATAACATTGCATCTTTAAGGGTGTAACTCTTAGATAAAAGTAAATTCATTATGAAAACTATTAAGCTTTCGTAATTTTGACCTGAATGATGACTAGGCCTAGGCCTATACCAAATTTCAGCCTTCTAGCTAGTCTGGTAGTTGGAGAAATAGTGACAAATCAGTCAGTAAGGACTTTGATTTTCAAAGATAAATATAGCAGTTATCAATATATAAATTAAAACTATCTAAACCAGTACCTAGTCGATATAATATTTTATGGTACTGCTATATCCTATTTTAAATCAACAAGTAAAACTGAGCCCAGAAGTAGGGATGTAGGTACCAGAGGAGTGCAATAAGTCAATGATACACATTTTTATGTAATTAGTTAAAAAAAAATATATTTACCATACTCGTGCATATAACACACACACATTGCCATGCTTTGTGATTCCTAACCATTATCACATAATACCAATCAAGATCACTTTTGAAATAGGTACTTCCAACACATGAAACATCATAGTCTTGGCTTGTCACAAGTTTTTGAACAGATTAAAACACAACAGGTCCAATAGGCTCTGCTCGCAAGCTATTGAGGTCCAGTCTTGAATCTATGGTATCATCCAGTTCTCCAACCATGACTCTAAAACAAAACAAAAGATATAGTAGGCTATTTGTGTTAGTTTTTTTAATAAAAATACAGAAATAAAATACGCAAGAGTGACAGAAATAAAATACGCAAGAGTGGCCAATTAATGTTAAATGTAGCATGGGATATCATAAAATGGATTTAAATATGTAGATAAACCATAATAAAAAATTGTTTTATTTTAATTTGTAATATATAAAAAATGATTTTTACAATAAGATAAGGCTCCTCATACTAAGAGTTCAGTTGAGCAACAGGACAGAGAAGTAAGGTAACACAGTACACCTATGTGGTGTCTAGGGGTAAAGTCCAGCACCACCCCCTCGTTCTCTTGTACTACAACGCTACAGTGGAAGAAGACCCTGCGCTCTGTGCTATAAGAATTTCCACCAAGTGCTCTTCCTTGCTCTTCACAAACTAGAGCTTTAAGCGCACAGTCGTCCCATAAGCGAGTTTCCTCCATAGCTTACTTCTCTGGGGCGACAGTAAGGGTGCAGCCACAAAAGGTGCAAAAATAGCTGGCTCGGATAGAGGTCCAAGCCTGGGCCATGTTAACTTGTCCACGACTATAGTCAGTCTTGATGATGTTGAAAGAAATGGTTAATAGCATGAGGCATGTCGTACTGTTCTCATTGAACATGTAAATAAAGTGTACTGTCTAAAGTCTAGCCAAAAAGCCTGTGAGTAAAGCATGTGAAAAAACTTGCCCAGTGTAATCAAGTGATAATGTTACAGATCTATACTTGATACAATAAAGGGGTTTCCCTGTAACATCCCTTTTCCAGCTGTCCTACTTAACCAATTTTTACAACTGAAGTGTCATTTTAAAGCTTATGATCTAGCGCACCTGCTAATGGTATTAAAAAAATTCTTCTCAAACTTAAAAATGATCTTGAGCCAGCAAAACCTCATTTTCGGTCCTAGGTACAAAATATACTATTAAATAGGCTCTGGCTACTTTTTAAAAACTGTAACCTGATTGAGGTAGGTATCACTTTTTATAGTGTAGATTTAAAATCAACGAATCTACTGTAAACAAGGGTACTTTCCTGTTGAAGGGAATATTCATTATTATCAATGATTTTTTTTTGCTACGTCATTTTATTTTTTGATTCAAAATATCTGTATTAAAAAAATTGAAACATATCAGCTGACGATAAATAAATACTGTCGAGTATCAACATTAACAATTAAAAAATAAAATATACACAGTATTGAAATGAACCTGTTCTTAACAAACCGAAATTGCTATATTTCAAAATTCCTAATGATATTCCCTGCATGCCTTTTCTGTTATAAACCGGAACTTCGAAATGGTATAGCAAGTTTGGTTGGTTATGTTAGGTTAGTCTAGAATGATTTCATTTCTTAATCCTAATATAACTTAATATTTTTGGATAACAAGATAAGTTGTTAACTTGTATTTAAATGTGTTTGATGATATTAAAACAGAAGGAATAGGCTATGAATCGTAAAGGAAAACAAAAGTTTTGATATATCGAAAAAACAATCGATAATAATGTTCCCTTTAACAGGACAGTACCATAAGTAGGCTAGTTCTAATCAACTAGGCCTAACTTTTTAAACAAAAATAAACTTGAAAAGCCAATTGTGTATTTCACTGGATTCCTTTTGTCACAAAGAATGGTCTTGGACCCTATGATACTGTGAAATTTGCAGCAAAGTGTTACGGGTCCCCTTGTTAGGTTAATTATTTATATAAAAACATCAATAAATTATTTTAAGCAGTTATTTAACTAAACAATATCTTACAGATTGTTGCAGACATTTTTCATCACAATACAAGTAAAACAAAGTGATTAAATTAGACATTATTGTAAAATAAACCACTTAGCTATGATACACCACCAGCTACGAGTATTATTAAGGAACGCGGCAGCGTTCCGCCCCGCCAAGTCCCCCAGTGGTACACAGCTGCTGCAGTGTATATATACATGACGTGACAAAGTGGCTTTTTTACTCGTCTATAGGGGTCGCCGGAATTGTACCCCCCTGGAATTGTACCCCCCGGCGATCGTTGACGTCATTTTGACGTCACGCCTAGGGGGGGTACAATTCCACTCCGTACACTTTGATTTGAACGAAATCTAATCTATTTAATGTGGGCAAGTGATCAGTGAACCGGATTATTATATTAGATAAATAAATGATTATTTAAAAAGAGCAGGAGATGTACGGCCCGGAATTGTACCCCCCTGGAATTGTACCCCCCGGAATTGTACCCCCTGCCAACATCAAAATATTTATGTACGGGGTGGAATTGTACCCCCCTGGAATTGTACCCCCCATCAGAAAGCCAAATAAGTACGGGGTAGAATTGTACCCCCCGGAATTGTACCCCCCTCTTGGACAGCTAGCTTGGCTTGTGTACGGGCTGGAATTGTACCCCCCACCCACTCGATAAACTTAATTGGTATTATGAAAATGAAGTACAGTAGTAGAGAATGCCTTCTACAGTGACATATGTTAGATTTTCAAACCTGTACAGTAGCCTATATAGTGATTGTACTAAGGAACTATAATAGTGAAGAGATTATCCAAAAATCTGGCTTCGCCACTTTACTTCCCCTCGGGCCGTATTCATATTTTATAAATTTTCTTTAAACCATAAACAACCTGATTACATCTATCTTCTATATATATTTAATAGAAGATTCTATATATTTAATAGAACGCGACATGAAACTTTGTGAACAATAAGGCTTTTTTGTTTTAAGATTTAACCCCACATATTATGTACCAAAATGTTCGTCTAGGTGTGTAGATGTGTAAACAGGCTTTAGATTTTTGAAATATATCTTTTTAAGGGCATGGGCTGCCCTCAAAGTTCCTTCCATAAGGATAACATTGTGATTGATTTGAATGTTATTATATTCTGAAACAGATGTCAATAAATTAGTTTAAAGAAAAATAAATTCCAGCTGTTATGTTTGGTTTTGAAATGTAAACAGTTTGCATGTTTTTAAAAATAACTAGAAACCCTGCAAAGAAATTTTACCTATAGGACATGACGGGAGAAATGTTTTATATTATAGTTTCTATTATACATGCCAAGGACCCGACGGAAAAGAAATATTGCCGGTCGGACACGGCGAGTCAACATACGGCAAGCAATGCAAAACGTAAGGAGCCCAGACGAGGAGCTGGAACAGTTAGTGGCAACGTGTACTTACAAAATTGCACTGACTAATACAAGAATTCAGCAGCATTCACTTAGCGAGATGACATTAAAATGTCAGAAATGTGGTGCGCTACATTTTGAAGAAGAAAAAGAGGACGAGGCGAATGATTTTCATCTTGCTGCCATAAAGGAAAAGTGAATCTACCACCATACCGAGAAAGCCGTTATATCCATAGCCTACCAAATGGAGCAAATCATTTGAGCAGAAACTAAAAGAGAACACTAGATCGTGCAGCTCTGCGCTCGCCATGGTCAGCACTCGAGCTGAAATTGAAGAACATAAAAGGTGGAGGGCCTTACTGTATAAGGTGCACGACACAATTTATCACTCAGTTGGACCTTTCAACCGTCAGAAGGGGAGCATCCCACATATGCCCAAATTTATATCTATGACGTCAAAACCGCTGTTCAAGAAAGAATGCTAAACAAAGCTAATGGCTCTTGCAGAACTGAACTCATGCACATTATGATTCAACATTTGGTTGATATTAATCCATACGCGCAAGTTTTCAATAGTTGTTGTTTTAATTGTAAACAGTCAATAAGTTTGCTACAAACATTTACTGACTTGGTTGAAATGAAATATTTACTATTTGAATTTTGGGTTGGCGTAAATATTCCAATGAAAAAAAGAGAGATCCTGGATAAATTGATATACTAAAACTAAAACTGAATTAACACTGTGCTGCATTTCTTAGTAATAATTGAACTAGCCGATTTGCAAACAATAGAAACATAGGAAAGTCATAGAACACCACCAAGGAGAAGAAATAGAAATAATGTGTTTTTTTTTTATTATTATGGACAACCTAATGCGGCTATGAGTAAGGTTATTTGTAGAAAACGCTAAAAAACAAGATCAGCTTTTGAAAAATATTTACAAGAAATGCTGATTATATCCATCTGTTATGTACCTCTTAAGTATTCCATAATCTTTAAGTCGAATAAAAAATCATGTCATAAAAAATTATGACTGTTATTCGTTTTAAAATAATGCATGTCATACTTAGAAATTGCTCGATTTCGAGCAACAGGGACACTAGTTTTACTAGGTAAAAAGAAACAGGGTCCGGCACGTACCACGGTCACCTTTAACTACAGGCCGCGGCCTGGTAGAATTGGCAACGTCCCAAGTGGTGTTTTTTAGTGACAGACGTCCCATAAGATAACATGGCGAACAGGTAACATCAGCTCATCACTTACCTTTTGATTATTGCACATAGGCCTAATAACTAAGCTAATTTAGTTTGTATACAATAACTATGCTATAAGAATGCAATGATTATTTATTAATGTCACTCTTTTCAACGTAATTTAATATGACCGTGAAAAGAAGTTAAAGTATTTCATTTTTGTTCATTCAAAAATGATATGCATTATTGTTCATTCGGTAACAAATTATAAACCGCTATTACTGGCAAAGGTGGACAAAATACCTGTTGTAAAATTTAGTTGTAGGTATCTGGTACAAAGTATTTCACGGTTTGTCAAAGTTTTAACCTTTGTGAATTCAAGCTAACCCATGAACAGTTAGTACTTGGGAAGGTTAAGAAAATATTAATGAATAACGTACAAAGAAGTCTGTTAGGCCTCTCGCACTCGGAATGGCCTTAATTTGCAGTTTCTTAGAATATCCTTTCACAACAAGCAATTCATTAGGTGTCGGGTAACATATGGTTCAGTTCACTTTCGTGTGATTCCCCTCTAATATCCAACATAACTATTGGTTTGATTTTACTTGGTAATCATAATAGACAAGCTCCTGGGTGAAATGGGGGGGTACAATTCCAGGGGGTACAATTCCGGGCCGTACATCTCCTTCTGTGGTCACCAGGGGGTACAATTCCAGGGGGGTACAATTCCGGTCCTATAAGAAGGGCTAGACTGCCGGGGGGTACAATTCCACCCCGTACACTGGCCAAATAAAAGTGAGTTCTAATTGAGGGGGTACAATTCCAGGGGGTACAATTCCGGTCCGTACAGTTTTTTAGATGCCAGGGGATTTAATCAAACCACTCGTGCATAACAATATCAAAGTTTTATGAGGGGGGTACAATTCCAGCCCGTACACGCCGTTTTGGTCGAGAAAATGAGACGTCATCGTGACGTCACTAACCTGCAGGGGGTACAATTCCAGGGGGGTACAATTCCGCCACCCCGTCTGAAGAAACAAAAGCTATTAAAATAATTATTCATCTACTGGATAGGGGCACTCATTCTCAACAAAATAAAAAAAAGAATTTAAAAAACGGTTGTGTTTGAGCCAAGAAAAACTAGTTTGAAAATTCACAAATTTTCCGTGTTCTCCTTCTTCTCCTTGAATGTTGACGGACCTACAGCCCAAACCACTGGGACAATTTTAATGTTTTGTATGTTGTTTGAAAGCCCTTAACGTGTAGATGTGCCTTTTGAGGGTCTCAAGTCAGTGCGTTGACCCATAAACCCTTGGCAAGCCCTCAAAGTACGATTTTGGCCCATTTAAATAACATGGGATTAAAATCAAAACAAAAGAAGGACCAGCTGCGATAAAATCTCATTTAATTTAAATGTTAGAGAAATTCATAGCAACAGCTGAAAAATTATTTTAAAACTTTTATAAAGTATTTTTCAGGTATACCGAATTATTTGAACTACTTACTATATAAAATTACTTAGAGCAGTGTTATTCCCCGATACTTTCCATTGAAAAATGCAGTGTACCGACCGATAGTACACTGGTACAGCAGCTCGTCATTTTAACAGTTTAATACTACTTATCAAAACATATGAAACCTAGGAACTTGAAACTTAGTAATCGGGAAAATCACTCTATGTATGTTAAACAAGCAATTAAAAAGTGATATGTAAATTTAGGATAAATGAGTTTTTCAATATTTGTTTTGTCTTATGCTATTTCTAACAAACCTAATCAGTTTGATTACTTTTTTACTTCTCTAATAAAGGCTCAATTTACACTAGTCTTTAGATATACGGGTTTAATTATCAGAACACTTATGTAACACCAACGCATTTTATGTTGTTCAATATGACCATTGATGAAATTTGAAACTGAGTTTAAGCCCAGGGGGTTTGTTAAATAGTAATTTTGGTATGTGTGTCAAAAAGTTTTTAATCGGTTTGAAGCAGATAAGACCAAAAATATAGAATTTAGTTCTACACAAACAATATTATTGAAATTAAATGAGATGTAGTTGTGCCGTGGTCTATATATCAGAGAAAAGAGGATTTTTTTTCTGTTGATTTTCTACAAAAATAAATCAAATCTAACAAAAAACCACTAAGTGGTAACACTTTCCCCGCCAAGTCAGCAATCCAAAAAAGATAATAAATCATTACTTTTTCCGCCAAGAAAAACAATGTAATGTATGTAAGTTTGGCAACTTGTCGGCAGACTTTTGCTCGATCACTTTAAAAAATACCATAAAACTAGTTTCATTGAGCAAGTATCTCTCCCATTAGTACATTGCCAGGTGAGAGCTTATTTTACAAAATTCGACCTTATTTGTGCCACATTTCCTAAAATTAGGGATGGACGGGATTGAATTTTTAGTTCGGGACGGGACGGGACGGGATTTTTATTTCCTTCCCGATTTTCGGGACGGGACGGGACGGGATTTTTTTCTGTGCATAAAAAGAAAGTACTGTATTGCAGTTACCAAAAAAAGACATACGAAATCAATTTTTACCATTTGTGGCACTGATCTATAAAAACCAAAAAATGGGTAACAATTTACAGGTACCTATAGTAACTTGTGACTCGCGGGTCACGGGGTGATCGTCTGTATGACTCGCGGTCACGACGCGATCGTCGGTAGGACTCCGCGGTCACGGCGCGATCGTCGGTATGACTCCGCGGTCACGAGGTTATCGTCGGTATGACTCGCGGTCACGGCATGATCGTCGGTATGACTCGCGAACACGGCTCGATCGTCAGCATGACTCCGCGGTCACGGCGCGATCGTCGGTATGACTCGCGGTCACAGCGCGATCGTAGGTATGACTCGCGGTCACGGCGCGATCGTCGGTATGACTCCGCGGTCACGGGGTTATCGTCGGTATGACTCGCGAACACGGCTCGATCGTCAGCATGACTCCGCGGTCACGGCACGATCGTCGGTATGACTCGCGGTCACAGCGCGATCGTCTGTATGACTCGCGGTCACGGCGCGATCGTCGGTATGACTCGCGATCACGGGGTTATCGTCGGTATGACTCGCGGTCACGGCGCGATCGTCGGTATGACTCCGCGGTCACGGCGCGATCGTCGTCATGACTCGCGGTCACGGCATGATCGTCGGTATGACTTGCGGTCACGGCGCGATCGTCGGTATGACTCGCGATCACGGGGTTATCGTCGGTATGACTCGCGGTCACGGCGCGATCGTCGGTAGGACTCCGCGGTCACGGGGTTATCGTCGGTATGACTCGCGGTCACGGCTCGATCGTCAGCATGACTCCGCGGTCACGGCGCGATCGTCGTCATGACTCGCGGTCACGGCATGATCGTCGGTATGACTTGCGGTCACGGCGCGATCGTCGTTATGACTCGCGATCACGGGGTTATCGTCGGTATGACTCGCGGTCACGGCGCGATCGTCGGTAGGACTCCGCGGTCACGGCGCGATCGTCGGTATGACTTCGTCTCCTGCGTTCGCGGACCTATCGCTCGCAATAACGGCGTTATCGGCACTCGCGAAGCGGAAAAATAGCCGACGATCGGACCAAATCCCGTCCCGAAAAATTCCCGAGTCAATTGTAATCCCGTCCCGATAATCGGGAATATTTTTTTCCCGAAAAATTCCCGAAATTTCGGGACCCGTCCATCCCTACCTAAAATCATAATAGTGATGGTTTTATATTTACTGATTACCTCGAAATTATTATACTTAGTTGGACTAATTAATTAGAGAAGTTGATTTGTGAAATAATTATCCACGAACGTAACTTAAATGAAAAAAAAACCAAGCAAAAGTCTGCCGCCAAGTTGCCAAACTTACATACATTACATTGTTTTTCTTGGCGGAAAAAGTAATGATTTATTATCTTTTTTGGATTGCTGACTTGGCGGGAAAAGTGTTACCACTTAGTGGTTTTTTGTTAGATTGTTATTATATCATACTACGGGCTAGACTACTAACATGTTGTCTCCCCTGATGATGTGTAGGCCAAGGACGACTTGTTCGACTCCCTGAGTCATACTGTAGACCCTTTCATGACTATCATCCAGAATCAAGTTGATTGTCTGGTCGAAACCTTTTAACGTACCCTGGAAAATGTTCACATATTAAAAAAGAAGCTGAAATTGTTTCTAAAAACAATAGCCTACAGACAGAATATTTTTTGATACCCTTGATTTGTGAATTTTATAATCATTTGAAGTTAAAAGATTTTGTTAGTTATCGCTCATTATCATTATTATTAATTAAGATGAGCCGCCTAGGTGCGTATTTTATCCTAAGGATGAGTGTAGAATGAAGTGAAATTATCTGTGTAGCTTTGTTACTGACTAAGATCAGCTGTTCCTTTAGCCAGGATCGTTTATTTAAAGCCCAACGATCAGGAACAGCTGGGTCCAGTTTCGAACCTTCAAAAAGCTACTGACTCTTCTCAAGATTGATCCGGCAACCTTTTGATTGATAGGTGAACAACCACTCAGCTATTGATCTCGTTATGTATAATATCTCATTTAATGTCTGACATGTTGAAAAAGTATCTTTGGATCCCAGTGGCTGTTTGAGTTCCCTTGTTATCCCAATCAAGTCAAGATTTGTTCACAATTTGATTGTTAATGATTTTATGTGTAATCGAGTGATTTACATTATGCATTTATTTACATTTACATTTTGGTTCTAATATACTGTATATGCTTTACTGCAACTAAATATTGTTAAATAGGGATTAGGAGAGCATCTCAATATCAAAGGAGGATTATATCTATCTATTAGAGTAAAACAGAGAGAAAAATAATGGAGGCTAAGCCGTTTCTGATGGCCTCTTTTTTGATTAATCAAAAGACTATTTCGGTTCAAAGATATCTTCAACACTCACATAGATGCACAAAACCATCATTTTTTAATCGACAACTGTTATCTGAACTTAATCTTCACAGCATTTGCAAACTACAAGCACCACATCGGGCAGTTTATGTTGTCTAGCTAATTTTCAAACTTATTTGAATTTCTTATTGTGGCTTTGGTTAACCTGGCTTTCGGTTTAAGGGGGGGGGGTTAAAAGGGGTATTACAGTACCTACATAAAACATTTTGGGTATTTATGGTACATAAATGCACAAATATAAAACTTTGCAGCTTGCAACATCAAACCCCCCTGTGGGCACCCCTGATCTATACCAAAAAGCAAAGTGATAATGATGAAAAGGTTGCAGACTAAGAAGGCAAGGAATGAAGAGAGAATCAACAACTCGCCAAATACATGTAAAGGAGCATAGGAGATTATAAATGAGCAAAGAAAGTCCAGTCCAAGTCCTTTGATTCAGAAAACACCGGATGACTGCAATACCTTCTTTGTCCAGGTTGCTGAGAATATTGTTTCTGGCTTACCAGCTGTGCAAACAAGCATGTGAAATATCTGGATTGATAGGGATCCAACTTTGGAACGCTCTAGCTTGTTGAAGGTGAGTATACAGGAAATTTAAACTACTTTGTAAATGATTTAAAAAATTCTATTAGCCAAGATGTTGTAGTGGAGGAACGAGTGAAATGACTCAGTCCGCATCATCTGCCTTCTGAGAAAACTCAGATCAGAAATAAAACAACACCATATCTTAGGACTGTATATCACGCCCTCTTCCACAGTCATATAAAGTTTTTTGGTTCTGTGGGGTCACTCTGCATCTGTGCATCAAGGTCTGCTTCTGAGAAAGATGGCACATTGAGTAGATTCTTGAAATGCTAAGTGCTCCCCGTGCTAAGATATTTACAACGCTCTTCCCAAAACCGCTAGAGATTTGGAGCGAAAGCAATTCAAAAACTTACTCCTTAAGGTACAATACTAGTGAAAAAGCCACTGTACTCTTTGGCCGAGCTTGAAGAGCCACTTTTTCCTCCCTGATGACATACCCTATAAGTTACCATCCAAACAGCCACATGAGTCTTGTAGTTTTTTGTAAAAATATGTTTTGTAAATATTAGTTTTTAGTGATGTAGGTACCTAGGCTACATAATAAATTAGGTCTATTGACACAACCTATCTGATAATGTCGGTCATTGATGAAGACATCAAGTATTCAAGTAAATATTGTAGGCTACACTAAAATTATATTTAAAATTAAAATGTTAAATTACACATTTGTTAAAATTCATCTTTTTGATCTTCTAAAACTGTAAATCAACCATTGACTTTGCACACTGCAATACACTTTTCATCCCTAAAATCCTAAGCATTTTTTTGTGTTGGACGTTTGGCAATGTTTGATCAAGACTGTTATTTTCATGGACATCTTTTTTTGTTCTTTGGTTGAGTAAAAAAACAGTACTGTACGGTAACTTATTTGTATTTTACAACTGACAGTTCTATTCGGTCATAAAAAACACAGAATTTAGGGGACATCAACACACTCATTCCCTAACTAAGTTACTGGACTCAAACAGACTTTTGTTTGTTTTAAACAGATAAATTAGAACATGTTACATACCACAAAATTTCTTCCGTCTGCAGTAATGATCGAAACGGTCCCTGTAAATAAGCTAAGGAAGAAAACATTGAAGATACAGGCAAAACTTAAGTTAGCCTACTGAAAATAGATCTGTCTTAACAAAGTTTTTATAACAAGTAGTAAGTTACGGTTTGTTACTTCCTTAATACTGTAGTAGCCTAACTATGTGCGGATCATTAAGTTAAGTTTTGCTGAAAGGCCAGCCACATGACAAAAAGTAGGATTAGCATAATAAAAATGCACTTAACATAAGTAGGCCTATTTAAGTAGACCCCTGGCTATGATTGAACTTAGAATTTAGTAAGTTATAATCCAATCAATAATTAATTCATAAATATTTCTAAAAACTTTGAAAGTCTATCTGACCTCACTGTAGCCTAATTACAATGAATAGGTAAGTTAACTTAAGTTAGGCCTAAGTAATTAAAGGAAAGTTTGGTTTGGTAGGGTAATCAGCAAGTTTGGTTGGTTAGGTTAGGTTATGACAGTAAGTTAATGCCTAATCCATCCTCAAAGTTGTTTGAAACTAATAGCGTTCATTGTACTTACTTTACTTTTACTTACTTTTATTATTTGTCGAAGGAGCCGAAACTCCCCGACGACTACCCGGTACCTAGTTGCCCTTAACCCGGGACCCATGGCGTAGGCCGGAGCTTATGCACCAATCCTGAGCACACCATGGGTGGATGACTTAAGGCCATCAAGCTCACCGGCTGCCGAAGCAACCCTTCGGAAAGAGGGTTGCCCCTCAAACCTAACCAGGGATACCGGCTAGGCCTACTTTAACCACAGAGGAGTGCCTTGGACCCATCACAGTGCAAGCAACACTTGGGACCTATCTAATCCCTGACAGGCTGAAACCCGCTATCAAAGCCAGAGGAAGGGTACCGCCAGCAAGCTGACGGGGGAACCCCAACCACCCATTTCCACCACTACCCAATCGAGGCCATCCCATTGCTGGGAAACCAGGGCCATTCACGTTCATTGTAGGCTACTGTGATAATTGCCTTGATTTGAATACAAATAGGAATAATACACTGAATAGGCCTAGCTAAGGCTTATTTTTAACTTTTTTTAATAGGCCTAGTCTTACAATAGGCCTACTCTTTAAAAATATTAAATTGCTTACTTAGGCCTAGGCCTATTAATACAACTAACTTACAGCTGGCTATGGAACAAAATAAGTAAAATTTAACATTTATTTATGATGGACGGACATAGGCCTAAGATAACTTAGCACTGTGGACACAGAATATCGTAATGTAAAGTATAATTACATAAAATAAAGGATACTGTTTACATAGCCTTCAAGAGCAGAAGCCATTCTCCTCGATAGCCGATAACGCTATGTTACTTCGTGTTGAAATTATAAATCAGGATTCAATTATAGCAGATCTTCACTATACTTTTATTGCTCTAGTTTTTAAACAGACAGAGTTTGAAAGAGAAACCTAACCTAACCAAGTGTCTTAACCTCACAATCACAATCAAATTGAAATGAAATTTGAAATTCGTTCGTACGCGTACGTATACAGCACGATTTCATTTCAGTTCCATTTTCTCCCAATCGGCAATCACAGTCCTCGGTTTTTTACCAATCCACTGCCACTCTACGGGCTTTACGGCTTATTTTTTTCCATGTAGCTTTTTAGTTTGTTTTATAGATAAGCCGTCTGTTAGTGAATTTCCATACAGGAAATACACTTTCACGGTAGGTCTCGGTAAAATATTTATATTATATTCTTGATTAGATTCATGAGACGTATAATCAATGGTAAGATATAGACTAGACCAGGACTGATTTACTTTTTTTTAAATTCATACTTTGATAATCTAACATGTTTAAAGGAATATTTATTATAGTGAAAATCCATTGCGTAATTCGCTTGGTCTGCCCCCAGTTTGCTGCATACTTTCACGGCCACCTAAAGGTGGCCGTGCTACTGTGCTCTTGTAAAGTAAATAATCCACGTGTTAAGCCACGGCTGCCTTTAACTAGGCCATGGCCTGGTAGAATTGGCAACGTTGCAAGTAGGGTTGTTTAGTGTCAGACGTCCCATAAGATTACATGGCAGACAGGTGACATCGGTTCATTAAGTTGCACTTTATTGATTAAAATTTAAATTTATGAACATAAATTTACTAAAATATGGAAAATAAAACGTACAGAATTGAAAAACTAAATAATAAGAAATAAAAATCCATATCTGTACATTTGGAGCGGAGTCAATATTTTCATAGTCCAGTAACCAAGCTTTCGTAAATACACAAATACCATTATAATACCATTACCATTATAGCTGCTTCCAAACAAAACAGCTGTTACAACCCTACTTGCGACGTTACTACTTCGAAGGCCATGGCCATGGTCAGTTAAGGTCGGCCGTGGTTGTAACAGCTGTTTCGTTTGGAGGCAGCTAATGGTATTTGTGTATTTTTCCAAGAATATGAAAGCTTGGTTACTGGGCTATGAAAATATTGACTCCACTTTAAATGTACAAAAATAGATTTTCAATTTAAAATTTGTTTTGGTTTTCAACTCAGTTTTTTCAATATTTTTATAAATTTATGCTCATAAATTTAAATTTATATGAATGATACGCGAGTTAATGAGCTGGTGTCTCCTGACTGCCATGTTATCTTATGGGACGGCTGGCGCTAGACAACACTACTTGCAACGTTGCCAGTTCTACCAGGCGTCGGCCTATCGTTAAGCCTCTGAGCTGTGTGGCCGTGACGTAAGTAACATAAGTAAAAAGTAGGCTATATGGTTACAGAGTCCATGGCATTACCTTTTGTCAATCAGCTCAAAATTTGTATTTTATGTAAGTTGTAACAACAGTTACAGCTGATTAACAAAGGTAAAGCCTACTCCTTGGTTAGCTTCATGATACATTTTGCTTGTAGCACTCCGAATATTAGTTAACAAAGTGAAGCTCATTATTTGTTTTTAAACCTTTATCATATTTTAGGTTGATGAATTTAATATTCATCAGCCATAATCTACAGTAATGAACGACCAACGCTATAAGCTTGTTGTTTATTTTAACCAGCCGTAACTTATTAGCCATTATCAAAACAGACCAAAAAAGATAACAATACAAGCTACACCTTATAACACCTGTAGGTCAGTAGGCCTACTACAAAATATATATGTCTTTTTAAGTACCTCCCTATAGTAGCGTGCTATACGATCCTGTCGATGGACTGCTCTAGTAAAATGCCGAGCTAGGAAATCATAACCACCAGTGAGCTTATAACAGTTAAAATAATGAATGCAAACCCTTTAAATTTAACTTCAATTATATCAATTACCTATTTAAAATGGGGATGGCACTATGTGCGTATTTTTACCCAAATATGAGTAAAGAAGGATGATTGAAGGATGAGTGGTGCGATCATGTAGTCTTGTTAGTGACTAAGGCCGACATATTCCTTGGGCACAATCAATTAATAGCCTAAACAGCTAATGGCAACTAAGGGACCTACAGTTTATAGTGGAATCCAAACCACATTCTTGCCTTGATATTAACGAATTGGTATAACTATCAGGATAGTACTTCGGATAGTCGTAGTACTCACTATTGCGGACGTTGATCCACACCAGGGAGTATCGCATCCACAGTGCATCTGTATAAATATCCACAATTCGATAAGATATACTTAAACATCCGATTTATAATATTTTCATTGGGTCAAAATAATAGAGTACCGTATACCTAATTAAAATCCAGGCACATAGAATTGTATGCATTGATCGTGCATTGTTCTAAAAGTGGTGTGCGTAGTATTTAAATAAAATATGTTCAATCAAATTTGTAATCTGAACCACAACGTTTACACAGGAGAGGAAGCGAATATATCAGCAATAAACCGTATGCTCGCAGTTTTTGCCTGGAGGAACAGAAGAAAAATGCGGACTTGGGTTTTATTTTCCGATTTGAAATCCTGCAATAATATCGAGTTTATATGCATAGCAGTAATATAAAACGTAGCCATGGCTCTTCCAATTTCACCCTTTTACGTTTTGAAATTCTATCTGCCATTTAAATAATCTTAGAAAAATATATTGTATTCATGAGCAGGTTGCATTTGAACTACATACTTTATGGTCTCTCTGGTACTTTCTAAAATTAGTCAATTAAAAAAACAACTTATAAGTACGATAAATTGTTCAAGGAAACAAATCTTGCACTAAGATACAACTATCAATAGCTTAAGACTTTTATGATTGAAATTGGGTTCTTCGGCCCTTTTTATATTTGAAAACTAGCATAGCTACAATACTTAAGCGTTGTCCACCATCATGAAGTTACCCAGATGCTGGATTTTTTGCAGAACCACCAAAATCCCAGAAATATTGCACTGTTCTTTGGTATCCATTACATGCGTGATTGACATATGGTCCAAGGAATCCAAAATAGAATTTGCAAAGCATAATCTTGCCATAAAAGAAAAAATAATTCGATATTTATGATAGTAAATATACGGTAGTTAGTTTTACACTAATTAAAATATACCTCTCAACCATGCTACTGTATAACCTTTTTATTGAATACATTTACATATATCAAAACCCTTTTTTAAGTAACTTAGTTCAAATAATGTTTTATTATATAAATAGGCATATATGTGTCTTCAGGAGCAAGCAAAGAAAAAGAATGTACAAAGTACAAAAAATGATTCAAACTCTGACACAGACTCCTATAAATCTCCTTACCCTTGACAGCATCTTTCATAAACATGCCTTTCTGTCAGGGCAACATTTTGTTTCACTTATCTAGATATACTCGCATCTCAAACATGTATTTCTGTTAGAGGCAAATTTCGCTTCACTTTTCTAGCAACATTCATTTTCATATATATATTTTTGTTAGAAAATCATTCGGTTTAAATTTTTTTTAGGTATAATCATTAAAAAAATATACCCCCGCTGCAGCAATCTTGCAGACAAAGTGAATTTAAATTTGTCTGATTGGATAGTAGATTCATTACGATAGAAGCATCTTCTCTGTTGGAAATTCGCTAAAACATACATTTATTTCTGCCAGATCTCTATTGTTGGTTCATTTGTCTAAGTATACTCGCCACGCATAAAATGCATTTCTGTCAGAAAAATGTTTTGTTTCAACAGTCAGGGTACCCATACGTCATAAGCACACCTTATCTTCCCACTGTACTTTCTTGTCAAAGAAACATTTTGTTTGACTCAAGTAAATTGAATAGAAAATCACATAAACACTCTTTACATTTTTCAGCTAAATATTATATTATCATGATGCAACATGTTGTTTTACTTTTACTTGCGTCTATCATAAACCTGTCTTTATGACAACTTGGTCTATCTTTCTCGAGACGTTTCAACTCCAATTCAATGACAAAAATTTTCATGTGTTTGTTATTTTTAACCGACTTCCCCACTACCAACAAAAGGAGGAGGTTCTCAATTTGTCTGTGGCGATGTTTTTTTTTTATGTATGTTCACCAATTTCTCTGTGATTCTTTTACCGATCAGCGTGGTTCCACCACCAAAATAACCAGGAGAATTTCTATTAGGTACCATATAAAAACAAATATTAAGAAAAATATTTGTTTGGTGAAAAATGCTGAAAACCTCAAATATTCAACATTTATTTTGTTTATATTTTTGCAAAGAAGGCAATAAATAATAATAACATTCCTACAGCTGTTAGTTAAAACCATTTAAATGAAGCTACAGACAGTTTCTTTATGAAACAGTTGCTTCATATTGATTAATAAACTATTTCTTGCCATGGAGCCTAAATAAGTTACATTGAAAATACCCCCGCCGCAGCAAACCTGTTGACTAAGCGAATTTCCATTTCTCTGAATGATTTTCAATTGAATCTATTTAGGTTTAACGAGTACCTAGGTTTGCTGCCACAAGGAAACTGAAACTATTAAAGTGTGTTTTAGTAAAATATTAATAGCTTAGTATAAAATAGATAAATTTGCCTAGTTTGATCAAAATATATCCATAAACAAACAAACTACAACATTTTCAATATTCTCCATAAGAATAACATGGTAGTTTTTAATTTACAATTTTTTGAATTTTCTCCGTAACTATTAACCGCAAAAAAACACTTTGATATACTAAATTCTTTGTTTTTTTTAAGCTCTTTAATATGGTCTAGAGATAAATTGGGAAATTTTGTGTTTTGGGGGTCAAAAATGAGAAAAACCAATTTTTACCCCATAAAACCCACCGGGAAACCCCGTTCCCATGGTCCGATCATGCTGGTTCGCGAACTCATTCAAGTTTATCTCGCCTTAAACCTTTAAACCAAATTTAATCAAAATCGGACAAAAATTACTCAAGTTATCGCGTTCACGGACACATATATATAAATCTATATATACATATATAAAAATTTGAACGAATGGTGTTT